TGTTGTGTGTGTGGTGTGTGTGTGTGTGTATCCTTGCATAAGGTTACCTGTTATTTAAAAAGGGTGCTGTGACTGTTTAATGGGGGAAAGAACAGTCTTTTCAACAAATGAACAACAAAGGAATGATGACTCTTATAAAATATAATGTACAAAAATTAAAGTGTCTCACCATTTGACCCAGCTATTCTCCTTCTCGGTCTATTCCCTAAAGACCTAAAAAGAGCATGCTACAGGGACACTGCTACATCGATGTTCATAGCAGCACAATTCACAATAGCTAGACTGTGGAACCAACCTAGATGCCCTTCAATGGATGAATGGATAAAAAAAATGTGGCATTTATACACAATGGAGTATTACTCTGCATTAAAAAATGACAAAATCATAGAATTTACAGGGAAATGGATGGCATTAGAGCAGATTATGGTAAGTGAAGCTAGCCAATCCCTAAAAAACAAATGCCAAATGTCTTCTTTGATATAAGGAGAGTAACTAAGAACAGAGTAGGGTCGAAGAGCATGAGAAGAAGATTAACATTAAACAGGGATGAGAGGTGGGAGGGAAAGGGAGAGAGAAGGGAAAATGCATGGAAATGGAAGGAGACCCTCAGAGTTATACAAAAGTACATACAAGAGGAAGTGAGGGGAAGGGGAAAAATAATATAAGGGGGACAAACGAATGTCAGTAGAGGGAGCAGAGAGAGAAGAGGGGAGGGGAGGGGAGGGGAGGGGAGGGGAGGGGAGGGGGGATAGTAGAGGATAGGAAAGGCAGCAGAATACAACAGACACTAGTATGGCAATATGTAAATCAATGGATGTGTAACTGATGTGATTCTGCAATCTGTATATGGGGTAAAAATGGGAGCTCATAACCCACTTGAATCAAATTGTGAAATATGATATATCAAGAACTATGTAATGTTTTGAACAGCCAACAATAAAAAATTAAAAAAAAAAATAAAGTGTCTCAAAATCTGAACGTAAAACCCCAAACTATAAGTCTCTTAGAGGAAATCAGGGTAAAAGCTTTACAACATTGTCTCTTAGAGGAAATCAGGGTAAAAGCTTTACAACATTGGATTTGACAATACTTTCTTGCATATGATATCAAAGGCATAGGCATTCAAAGAAATAATAGATAAGTTGGATTTTATAAATATTAAAAAGTTGTTCATCAAGAAAAACAACCAACAGCTCAAACAGGGAATACACAGAATGAGAAAATAAGTTTGCAAAACCTATGTGATAAGAGACTACTATCTCAAATATGTAGAGCACTTCTAAAGCCAACAGCAAAAAAAAAAAAAAAAAACAACAACAAAAAAAAAAAAACACAAGACTTACTAGATTCAAAAATTGGCAAAGTATTCAAATAGACTTTTTTCCAAAGGAGATATGCAGATGACCAAATCAGCACATGAAACTATGGTCAACATCACTAATCATTAGGGAAATGTGAATCAAAGTAACATACCATTAGAGCGGTTACTATTAAATAATAGAAACTAACAAGAGTTGGTAAAGATGTAAAGCAATCAGAATACTTCTGGTGGGAATGTAAAATGTAGCAGCTGATGTGTAAAATAATGTGAAAATTTATCAAAATATTAAAAATAGAATAACCACATAGTACAGATATTTCCACTTTTGGACATATATCCCAAAGAATTAAAAGGAGCATCTTAAAGATCTCCCTCTGTCTCTCCCCACTCTTCATATTCATAATAGCATATTTGCAATAGCTAATGTAGAAGCAATTCAGCCATCTATTCACTGATGAATGGATAAGCAAAATAACATGTATTGGATAAGCAAAATATCACATTACAATATTATCCAGCCTTTAAAAAAATGGAAATTCTAAGGTACATTACAATATGGATTAAATCTAAGCATATTATGCAAAATGAAATAAGCCACTAACAACAAGACAAATATGTATTTTTTAACATATATAAGTTACTTTAGCAGTCAAAATCATAGACAGCTTTAAAATAGTGGTTGTAAAGGGCTGAAGAAGGGGAGAATGAGGGATAATTGTTTATGGATTTTGAGTTTCAGTTTTATAAAATGAAAAGATTCCTGGAGATGAATAGCAGTAATGGTTGATGGTTGCACAATAAGAATATATTTAATACTACTGAGGTGTACACTTAAAATTGTTAAGAGTAAATTTTAAGTCATATTTATTTTACCATGATAAAAAAAAGGATTTTAAGATTGAAGAAGAAAATAATTGGGTTTTTTCAAACCATGAAAAACATACAGGAAACTTAAATGTATATTGCTAACTGAAAGAAGCTAATCTGAAAAGGGTAGGTCCTGTATCATTGTAACTATATGACACTTTGGAAAGGCAAAACTATGGAGAAAGTAAAAAGATTAGTTGTTACCAAATTGGCAAGGGACAGGAATGAATAGGCAGAGGTCAGAAGACATTTTAGGGCAGTAAAATCACTCTATACAATATACTACAGTGTCATTGTACATTTGTCAGAACCAATAGTAGAATACTAAGACAGAACCCTAATGTAGACTATGGACTTTAACAATGATATATTAGTATCACTTCATCCATTGTAATAAAAGTACCACCTCGTCCTGAATGTTGAAAGTTGGGGAGCTTGTGTTATAAGGAAAGGGAAGGCTACAAAGTGTATTTGGGAATGCTTTATATTTTTGCTCAATTTTGCCATGAACCTAAAACTGTTCTAAAAATGACTTATTTTAAAAAATGTACAAATTTAGCAGAAAGTTAAAATTTTTAAATGACTCTGATTTACATTTGTTTTTAAAGATCTCTATATTTCCTTTCTAAATATAAACTCAGTATTTTATTAAGCAAATCAGTAGTCATTTTTACTTACATAGAAATGCTATAATTTCTATATATATAGCAATCATAGATCTCTAGCACAATCTACAAACCTATTTCATTTACACTGAGGCTGAAATAACATTTTCAATGAAAAGAATATTACTGTAAAATAACCAATTGGAAAAAAACCCACTATATATATATATATATATATATATATATATATATATATATATATATATTATCCTGAATGCTAGCTCCTGAAGAAATGTAGTGTCATTAGAGGAGGAAGAAAGTATTTTTCTGTAGAAGTTTTGGAATATTTGTAAGCACTCAAATATTGATAGTACTGCTTCTTTATCATGACATTTTTTCACTTCAAATAATTTATTTACTTCTGGTAAACTTTTCACTGGTTCTATCCAGATAAGGGGTTTTGTGGGACAAGAACAAAGAACTGGAGAAGAAAGTAGATTATTTCCAGATGCAGAAGCATGAAAGAGTAAAGATAAAAGAAAGTAGTGTTATAAATTAATGTTAATGGTACATTGGAGAAAATATAACTGATTGACATTTACTAATTTCTTAACATTAAGGAAGAAGAGAGCTGGGAATGTACTCAGTGGTAGAGTGCTTTTGTAGCATGTGTGAAGCCCTGGGTTCTGTCCTCTGCAACACACACACATGCACACACACACTGAAGAAGCTAATGAGAGACACCAAGAAAGCAGATAATAAAGAGACACTAAGTTATGGTTTCCATAACTGTATGAGCTATCAATGATTTGGGATAGCTTGATTTAAATTTCTGGGTAGCAGAGTAGAAAGAGAAGACTATAGCTATTATTAAGTTTTAGGGTTCCAGGGAATACACTGAACAAGCACCTAGAAACTTTTACCCTACATCTTACATGGATATATTTTGTATGTGTGATAATTTTACATATTTTGATTTTGACATTAACATTATTCTGTTAAAATAATATAAAGATTTTGAGCATCATAAACTAGATGTAGACTAGATATTGGCTATCAAGTATATAATGATGGTATGAATTCTACCTTTTAAAGGAGGTTTTTTTGTCAATGATTTTTTTGTGGATGTCATTCATGAGATAACTATATAGAGTAGTACTCTGCTTGGTATGTTTTTGGCCTTAGAATTATTTTTCAGTTTGATGGATTTTCAATATGATCATAAAACTTACAATCAGACTCACTTCTATAAATATAAAACATCTATGGTGTTTATACTTTCTTCTCTCCAGTATTTTAGAAGAATCTTGAGTTTACACTTAGATTCATAGAATTTTTTGAACTGAGAGAACTCTTGTAGAAAATGCAGTTCAAAAGTATATTTTAGATTCAAGAAATAGAGACCTAAGGTTGAATGGCTGACTCCAACTTGTATTCTGTGCTTGATGCAAAGCTGGGTCTCATTTCTTATTTATTTAGTTTTGGCTTTGGGCTGCTTCTGCCATGTTTCATGGTCTGATTTCTGAGATTGGTAACTGAAACATCTTCTGCCTGTGCCATAATCCATTCTTATTGAAATATAAACTATTTTCCAACTTTTTTCTGACCCCTCTTTTAACAGTGAGCAATGTTCTTGATCCAGCTTCTATATCTGTCTTGTGTACTTCAAATACTTTTTGTGAGCATAAAGAGTTAATATAAAATGCATGTAGTTCTGTGACAGAGGTCAGAATCCCACCAACACTAGCCCACACTGTTTTAAATTTGAATTTGCTGCCTTAAATGAATTACCAGTATTTAAAAATTGGTACATATAACAGAAAAATATAGATATTTCAGTTTTTCTCAGAAGTTCCATTTATCTGGCACATGGGATGGCTATTTCCAATGGCACTAAAATTGTTTGCACAGGTAAGATATGTGCCTTCTCTTCCACTATAGTTCCTATAACTCCTTATAGGTTTCTCAGACTTTGGCCAAGTATCTCATGTCATTCATCATTTTATGATCTCTTGCTCCTGTAAATTGTCTTGAGGTCTACATGTATTGGGGAATTTCAATTCCTTTTCTCTGAAAATGTATGGTGAGATCCATAGTAGTAACATTTTTTCAGGGCACAAAGGTGTGGATTAGAGAATTCGTGAAAAATGATAGTGTTTGTCCAATAATGAGAATTACTGAAACTTTCTTCAAATTTGTTTTTCAAGGCAAGCATGTCCCAGGTAAGGCAAGTGGGATTGCTGGCTGCTGGATGTCAGCCATGGAACAAAGATGTGTGTGCTGCCAATGGAGACAGGTTTGCATATTGTGCTACTCTGGCTATCTATATTTATCAGGTAACATAATGCTAATTCTTTTCAATTTTTAATTGTAACAGTTAAAATGATCATTTAATTCATAGTTGTTTTAAGTTTTTTTCACATGAAAAGCATAATTGCTATAATTTAGTTGCTATTTCTATTTTCTGTTTTTTTTTTAATTTTTTATTGTTGGCTGTTCAAAACATTACATAGTTCTTGATATATCATATTTTTATTGGGCTTTCAGATGCTCAGAAAATGTTTATATCATCTTATTAGTAAATTTGAAATGAGAAAATTATATCAGTTGAAGGATGTGGATAGTCTATTAGAAATCATCACATGAAAATTAGTGTGGATACATTTCAAAATATTTTTGAGAGAAAAATCTTTATAACTACTTTTTAAAAAAAATTCCAGTTGTCACTTATCAATTCCCAATGTACAAAGCCAGTGTCTTCATGAATTTTTCTATATAGAGGAGCCATAAACATCTTAAATCCAAATTTAGTCTTTCTCCTGAACCCAGAGTCAAATTCTCAAAAGGCTAACCTTTCTCTAAACCAGAAATGTTAGTCAGAATGACTCACTTCTACGTACCTCCTTTGCCGTTGGTAACCAAGAGTGATGTGATATCTTGTATTTTTCAGTATCTTTCCTCCCTGAACTATATAATATACTCTTAATAGTCTCTCTTCCTTTCATTTGTTTTTTCCATAATTTATGCAAATATCAATTTTAAAATCTTTAATTGCCATTCATACCATAATATTACATCTAAACTTTATATTATGACTGTTTTTCCCCTGGTATCAGGTATTGAACCAAGGGGTGTTTAACCACTGAGCCACATCCCCATCCCTTTTTCCAATTTATTTAAAGAAAGGACCTTGATGAGTTGCTATTGATCTTGCCATCCTCCTGCCTCAGCCTACTGAGCTACTAGGATTTCATGACTTTTAACATCTTGTGACCATCCTGTGTTCTTTTTCTTTTACTCTGTGCTGCAGACATACCAACCAATTGCATTTTATGAAACATCTTAAACTCCTGTCTCCTTTTCATTAATTTATCAGTTTGCCAACATTGCCTGTGGGGGGAACATTTTCTCATCTTTCAAATCTCACCTGAAATGTAAATTCTTTTTCATATTCTGCCTTTCCCCCTTCCTTATGAGAGAGGATTTTCATAAAATGAACTCTATTTTTCCATTTATTATAAATGAGGTTGCCTTACCTTTGCGTTCTTAAACATTTGTACACTCTCTAGCACTTCATAGATAATTTATTAAATGTCTTAGATGAATGAGACCACTCTCTTTTAATCTTCAAACATCAACTATTTCAGTTGACTGAAAAATAATGCTTTATTCTGAAGAATAAATAAGAATAAAATAATGCTTTATTCTGAAAAATACTTTTTATTATTACATAAGTTTATTACAAATTGTGCTATGGTTTATTGAAAATTGAAGAAACAATAGCATTCATCCATAAAAACAATTCGTTTCCACAATATAGAATAAAATTGTGTGTAGTCCACTTATGAAGACTGGAAATGTCTAGCAATGGAGGTGTGATTTTAATATCACTCACAATCTTTCACTTCCCATCCCTTCTCTATGTAAGACAATAGAAAGCTTCCTTCCCGCCCCCCATCTATGTCCTTGACACCCTGCATGTACTCCCATGCTTCTCACTCCCAAATTCCTTCTATAAAATTTTTTGCCTACCTAGTCTCAAGTCCCCCTCCTAAAGAAAAGAAGCATGTCAGGCAAAGCAGACTGTTCCTCTCAGAGGTAAGGATGCTAAGAAACTGAACAGGTTTAGGCAAGACAATTTTTCAAGTTTTTATGTCTGAAATTTTATGATAGCATTTTGTGACAAATATTTAGGAAGTTAAGCTAAAATTATGAACATAAACTTATGAATTAAACTCAAAATTATGCTCATTTACAAATTAACTTAGGTGTCAGTTCATTACAGTGTGCACTGTAGCAACTTGTTTCAAAATATTCCAGTAAACAATTGCATTACTAAATGATGATAATGACATTAAATTGATGTTAATATAAATTTATATTCTAAATTATACATTATATATAATTTATATTTACTTTCATGTGACCTAATTTATATAATCATACATATAAATTTATATAATAAATTAATATTGTGTTATGTGATACATAAATAGAAAATGTTATGATTTCAGAATAATGTTTATTAAATAGTATCTTGTATAAACAGAGTGAATAGTCAAAGTCCAAAAACAGTGTCAAATTCAAGATAATGACTGTGATGTATTATTAGATTTTTCTGAACATTAAATAATATTTCTAAATGGCTTTTGAATTTTTACTTTATAATGCACCAAAATATTGTATTAAAGTTCTTTAACATTAATTTATGCTCCCTCTCGATGTAACAGTACAGTTATAACACCAAATTGTAAATATCATAGGAATTCATTAATAATTTAATCCCTACAAGTAGTTCAGTATTCTCTAGTGTGCTTACAGATACTATTGGATAATTTGTGTGGTAAAGTCAAAGAAGGTCACTGATTTTTATATTTATTGTATTTATAACTATCTCTAACTGAATTTCTAATATGTATATACCAGATTTTTCTGTTACATTGTATATATTCACAGTATCTACCACGGCTAACATAAATTTCTGAATAATTTAAAACTTAAAAACCTGATCATTTGTAAATAGACGAAGAACACAATTATGTATTTAAATAGGCTCATGTAAAATTATTATTGTTGTAGTGCCATTCAGATTAAAACCAGTGGTACTGGGTTATCTTTAATAATGCTTTCATCAAAGTTGTCTAAGAATATTTGAAACTATAAAAAGAAAAAGAATTTATAGGAGACAAAGCCTTAGGAATTAATTAGGACATTAGTCGAAATTTTATATACAAAGATGTTTACTGCACCATAAATGTGATAGCAAAAAGCAGAAGTTACTTAAGTGCAAAACCATAACATCAAGGTTTGTTCTTCAATATCAACTGACCCTCTTCTCATATCAGATTAGTTTGGCAAGATAGCATAAGTTTGATCATATAGAGTACAAAGCATTACATGACACTAGAAATGCAACTGAGAACAAACCAGGCAAAATCTTATTGTGGGAACAGAGGACAGGGAGAGGTCATAAAATCAGTAAACAAATAATTAAGTAAATGTTTCAGGAAGTAATGTGTTCCATGAAAACTACAAAACAGATAATAAGATAATGGGATAGGTTCTGAGGAGAGTTATTAATTTAAATAGCATAGTCTGAAAACATCTCTCTAAAGTGGTACTTTTCAAATCAGACCTGAACAGGTAAATGAATAATCATGAGCAGATCAGTGGGGAGAGTATTAGAAGAAAAGAAAACAGTGAATATCAAGCTGTCTGTAACATAGAAATGATTTTACTGGGAGGAATTTTATATCAGATTAGTTTGGCAAGATAGCAGAGATTTGATCATGTAGAGTACTGAAGGTTCTGTCAGCAGTTAGGATTTTACTGCAAGTATATGGTTAAACAAATATTGGAGTGACATTTAAGATAATGATTTTTAAAACTTTCAGTAACCCTGAAATGATCACTACAAGATGACACATATAGTACAAACCAAAACATTATACAAAAGGTAGAGAAATTACTTAATCTACTAATTAATTCAGGCACATTTACAAATGAAACAGGAAAATATGGGCTATTCATTTTATTCACTTACATATAAAAATGCAACCTAATTTAAAAAATGACACAAAAAGGGTCAAGGATTCATTGTTCTGGAAGAGTTAGATATCTTAATAATATAAGGATAAGCATTTGATTTTTTTAAAATCCTATTTTTTTGTACAACATAGTTTAATTTTTAAATTCAAATATAAGTGAAAATGGCAGAAAAAAATTCCAAAACCAAGGGGTTTATTTACTCTTCATAAATGGATATAGCCATGGAAAATGTAATAAAAAAGCTCTGAATTCTTGTGCATATTTGAATGTAAAACATTTTTATTAATTTTAATTTATGTTTTATTTTTCATTCTCTCATTTTACCCCAGATGTTTTTTTCTGCTGATCGAATATACTTAAATAGACCAAGGCTTAAAATTTGTTCATCTATTTATTACTAGGTGAAATAATTTTCATGTATGTAGCTTTTGTTTATATAACATGATTATTAATGGATAATGCATTATTTTTAAAAAGTACTAAAATGTTTTATTTATTTTGTTTTAGTTGGATCACCGTTATAATGAATTCAAACTTTATGCAATTATGTCTGAACATAAAAAAACAATTACAGCAATCTCTTGGTGTCCACATAATCCTGATCTGTTTGCAAGTGGCAGTACCGATAATTTAGTGATTATTTGGAATGTTGCAGAACAAAAAGTCATTGCTAAACTAGACAATACAAAAGGTACATTTATTATTGAAATTTATTTTATTGGATAAAACCTTTTATTTCAAGAAGCACAATTAGTTTTATTAATTCAGGTTTTTAAAATTGTGTTTTAAAATTTGTAATAGTAACTGATATAAGAAATATATTTCACATGTTTGTACATGTGTGCAAAACTGAAACAAAATTTCATGAAATAATTATACTTGGAACATAAGATAAAAACTTAGTACCAAATCATTTTATTAATTTTTAAATACAAAACTTTCGAAACTAATATGAAAACAATAATTAGAAAAGATATTCTTAATGGGACAAGTAAAAAGCCTTGCCTATTCACTAGTGTATTACACTAGTGAACATGTATTTAATTTATTTCCTCCTAATATTGCAGACAATATTCTGAATGTATTTAATGTATTGTTTAGCTGTTTTCATGCCTTTATGTGTAATTCAGTCAAGGTAGAAAGTCCTAGTTCAAACAACAAATAGGTCGTTGTGAATTTGGATAATGTCATATTCTTTCTAATTATCATTGGGAACTCCTATTTAATCTTAACCCATAATGATGATATTGTCATAATAGTAAATGTTGTAATAATGTACTCTTTCTGAGCACCAAGCATATAGCTCACTTGATTATGATTTTGTAAGATAATGCTGGATATGTTTTCTGTATTAAGCTTTTTCTCTGCAATTAATGAAAATAAAGTAGAAAAGTGAGATATGACAATTTTACTATATTTTATTCAAAATTTATTTATAGTGGGTATGTAGCAATAATATTAGGAATTCGTAGACAATTAAAATTTTGCTTCCATAATAAGAATAATGCCTTTTGAAACCTTTAGATATATTTAATATACTTGTTATGTTGCTTTTCTTGTCTTTTCAAATTTAGGTAATTAAAGATGCTGAAAATTATCAGTTAAAAGATATCAATTTTGTTTTTCAGTCATCATCTTAAAATTATTTACCAAATGATGTTGATTTTCATTTATAAAAATGTGCATTTAATTCCCAAATTCATATAACCTGTTTTTTTTTAATTTTCAAATTCTCCTTTAAGTTTTTTAAAATTTTACATGAAATAAACTAAAATGTTGCATATCATTATTTCCATTAAGTTGTAACCCCAAATCTACATCAGCCTATAATTGAAAATAAACATTTTTCTAAATATTATACAAAAGTACAGATTAGACAACCTATAATTGTGTTTTCACCTAGTTTAGCTAATGGTTTATCATGTCATCATACGTATTATATCCTTTTATGAGGGAAAGAATTTTTTTAAATTCATCAGTTGAGTGTATCATAATTTCCTTTGCCACCCGATATATAATTAAACAAGATTTTCAATTAACAGTGGTAGAATAATAAATTATTATAGTAGCAATTTTAGTAAATATTGCTTTCTTTGGAAAATTCAAAGATTAGTAATAACTTTCCCATGTTATTTACAATTACCTTCTTATTTGAAGACTGAAAACTTCAATATTGTATTTAGAAAAAATATGAACATTTTTAGTCATTTTCATTTTAAATATCCCCTTTTGAATGTCTTAAGACACCATTATTTTTTAGAATTCAGGTTAAGCAAAATAGAAATTTGCATTAATTCAACTTTTTAACCTCTACATGTAGTACTTGACCTTGATCTTTCCTCAGTAGTTTTCACTTCATTTTTCTTTTTCCTAATAAACAACAGGTTTAAAGAAAAATGAGTATTAGTTTGTCCAATTGTTAAAATGTTAAAATTGTCACCAGTTTTAAAAATGTCACATGTTGAGTGCCAAAGGAAAATATTAATTTTTACTTATCTCAGAATATTGTTGGGAGAATTAAATGTTGATATTTGCAAAACTCTTAAAAGTATTGTACACGGTAAGTCACCACATAAGTATTTTCTTCTATTATTATTATTATTATTATTATTATTTGAAATTGTTTCTGGTTCCTTCACTTCCCTAGCTGTCATTCTTTAATATACATTCAGCAGCCAGTCTTCTACAATTATGCTGTGGTGATTTGTTTCATACAAAATAATTTGTCCCTTATTAGGGAAATTCTGCTTCTGTTAATTCATCCTAAAGCCACACCAAGTTTTTTTATTAGCCTTGAACATGTACCCAATTCTTTCATTCACTCATCAGATATTTATAGAGTTCTTAATATGTGTCAGGCCCTGAACCAGGCTTAGGCTTCTAGTTTTTGCCTCTTGGAGCACACAGACTGTTGACACAAACTGAACTTACTATAAACCAACAACTTTCAATACTGTGTTTTTATTCATATAATGTTCTCTTCCTAATAAATACTGCTCACTCCAATATATTTGAATCTGACCTCTATTTGAAGATATAATTCATATCCAGTTTCTTTTTATGACAATAGACCAGTGATTCTCAAAAGTTTTCTGCATATCAAAATCATTTAGAGCAACTTGATAAAAACTAGATTCCTAGGGCCTAACTCCACATGACCTGATATATTATATTCAATTTTATGATTCTGATAGTCAATCTATCTGTGCTGGAAGAGTTCATAATTTCTCTTTTGAGTCATGCATTTCCCAAACACCTACTTTATATATAGTTTATTTGGTCACAATAATAGTAGGAACATTAACAATTAGCTTTTGTATTTTATTTACGATTTAAAAGGTAATTTTACATGCATTATTATATTTTCTTAACACTCATGTGAAATAAGTAGTCAATTACTTTTATTATTATTTCCATTTTATAAATGAGGTAACAAAAGTTTAGAGAAAGTAATTTCTTTAGCTCATCTGAGGCAAAGCTAGAATTTGAATCTAAATTCCTGAATGATATAGACTGTAGCATTGTTTGTTATTATTAATCTTTATAGTAGCAGTGATCTCTTTATGCGTTTATCTCATTGTCCTTAATTTATATTTCAGAACCTTTACTTTATTTCATACTGCATTGTATATCTAGAATGTCTAGAAATCTTAGATACACATGATAAGTATTTGTTGCTTTAATATATAGTGTACTGAATTAAGGAACTCTATAAATTTCTTTGAGTACATGAAACATGACAATTGTATTAATATTTGAACCGAAGTAGGTATTTTTCCTTTCATTCTGAAAGTTTCTACATATAGTCTCTGTAGTTTGGGGGATTAGTTTATAAATCCTATTCAGAAATAAGAAAGTAATGTATTTTTAAAATAATGAACATACTTTCGAGTTTTTATTAGTTTTAAAAATGTACAGTACAAGGAATATTTAATGGTACAATCTTGTGCTACATCTTTCTATTAAGTTTCTGTGTTTAATTTATTCCAGGAGTGCCTGCCTCTCTTAGCTGGTGCTGGAATGCAGATGATGCTGTAGCATTTGTTTCCCACAGAGGCCCACTATTCATTTGGACCATATCAGGACCAGAGAGTGGAGTGACTGTACACAAGGAGGCCCATAGCTTCTTGTCTGATATCTGTATTTTCAGATGGCATACACAAAAAAAAGGGAAAGTTGTGTTTGGTCATATTGATGGAAGTCTATCAGTTTTTCAGCCAGGTAAGAATTTAATGAGTCTAGTTGCTTAATTATATATTTTATAGAAGATGTGCTTTCTTATTTACATGCATATATTAGTTTGTTTCCCATTACTATAACAAGTATCTAAGACAAATAAGCTTAAAAAGAAGAAAGGTGTATTTTGGCTCACAGTTTTAAAAGTTTCAGTGTATGACCAAATGACTCCATTGCTTGGTGACATAGTATATCTTAGCGGAGCATCTGGAAACAAAAAGAGGGAAGTGTGATGTCCGACAAATATGTTTGTGAGTATGACTCAATGACCTTTTAGCTTCCCACAATGCCCCTCCTTCTAAAGGTTCCATTACCTCCTCATAATGCCATGGGCTGGGGGCCAAACCTTTAACACATGGGCCTTTGGGGAACATTCCAGATCTAAATTGTAGTAATATATAGAGTGAACAGTAACAAAATTGTAATTTTAAAAATATTATTTCTGAAAATATTATTTAAAATTGGGTTGACTCCAAATAGTCATTGAAGTAAATTTTATTTGTAGGCATTGTAATTTCACTTGGTTGTAAAAATCTTGTTTTGAATTTACCCAAATCAGTCATTTTCCCCATATTTATAATTTTTAAGTCAATTCTTTATTTCCGACTAAGAAACTAACCTAAATGAACAAGAATATGTTGCTGGAAGATATGACGATTTACTAAAACCCTCCAAAATATTTTCTCACCTGCTGATAAACATGTTGGTTCCATGGTTCCTTAAAAATGGACTTAAACCTGTCATAAGAACACAAAGTAACTCTTTGAACCCCTAGTTAATTAATTTGGCTGAATGAAAGGACTTGAGAAATTATTTTTTATTCATTTTAAAAATTTAGGCAGTAACAAAAAGTATGATTTTAAAAATTACCTGAATTGCTCTATCCTCTAAATAAACATTGTTAACTTTTTGGAAAAACTATTTTTAGCCTTCTGTCATCTGTGTTTCTGTATGTGACTATTGGATAGCCAGATAGATAAAAGAACTTTTTCAGGAAGCGATAATTACTTTTATAAAACATTAAATTTCAAATTATCTGAAATTAATAGAAAAAGACATTAAAATTGAACAGAAGGAATTGTGAAACTTTAAATAAATCTTTCTTTAGTAAATAATCTTTTTTAATTTAAGAAAGGAGTATATAAAATATTGGTAAACTGAAGCCATTATATCTTGGTACAATTAAACAGAATCTAAAATAGATACAAATATTTTTCTTTACCAGTTTCCCCCTCTGTTCTTTGTACACACCCTCTGTTCTTTCTAGTTTAAACGAATTGAGCGTAGGGACCATTTCATGTACTTGGTAGATTAGGTTGAGGAGAGTTCAATGGCTATTGCTTCATTTAAATTTTTGACTTGAATACCTAAATCATCACTTCTTCACTATATCTTCTACACTGGGAGCAAACTCTGTTGTAGAGTTGGTCATTAAGGCTCACAGTTAAATTAAGCAAGAAAACTAACGTACTTTCTCTGCTTTGACCTTGTGAAGATCACTTTTCTCTCCTATGCTCACTCTTCTGAGAATTTTAGGAGGTAATATATGTACAGTAAAATGGCTGTATGCTGTGTGGTTTCTCCTCTTACCTCTCTGCTTTCTGGGTTATTTAACCAGATCTCATTAAGGTTATTACCCTATTTAGCTTCTGGTTGTCTTTAACCCAGAGATTTCATCAGTAAGTACGGTGACACTTTTTTCTCAAGGAATCTCAGTGCTGCCTAAGATCTGAAGAGGATTATGAACAGTGTTTTTTTGGCGGGGGGAGGTCTAAAATGCTGTCTCTGTTTTTCTTATATTTTGTGATTTGTCCTTATGGCCATCTCCTGAGCCACAACCTCAACACCCCCACAGACTTCTTAACTTTATTTATTCTGTAGGATTTATTTAGCATAAAAATACATAAAACATTAACAAAAGATAAATCCTAGTAGGTATTTTCCTTTTGTGTAGACATTGAGTTAATAGATCATGGGGAAGCTCTACCTTTTAATTCTGTCATTGAATTCTGGATTGTGAGTTTGGAATTGTTAGCATTAATAGTTGTAAGGTTTTGTTAGGCTTCTTATTTTTATGAGACATTGTCAACTATACCTTCTTAATGACTTTATGGCATCACAGATGATTCCCATTTTACAATATAGGATTTCTGTCTTCTAGGTTATTTCAGGAAGTTATGATATCAAGCTCTCTGTTGTCTGAAATTTCTATTAGAAAAATATTTATGGACTATTGTTCAATATAAAATGCATTTCATCTATCATTTTAAATATTTCACTTCTAAACTGTGTTTTGTATGTTTATATATTTATGTGTATATTGGGGGTAAGGGACTTGTTAGGAAATCCAGATGGACTCTAAGCCTTCTGTTCCCTTTCAGCCTAGAGCACCATTTTATTCTGATTTATATATAGTATTTTCATGTAAAAATTCTCTTAAAAAGTATTGTAGGAGGGATGGGGTTGTGGCTCAGTTGTAGCATGCTTACCTAGCATGTGTGAGGACTGGGTTTGATTCTCAGCACCACATACAAATAAATAAAATAAAGGTCTATCAATAACTAAAAATATTTTTTAAAAAAGAGTATTGCAGGGCAGAAAAAGTTACAAACTTTTTTAGTTAATTCAAATTGTGTTTTTAGACCAAGTTCAGCAAAGAACTTCCTTTTTTAACATTCACTGTAGAGTGTCTAATTGGTCATTCATTTACTATTTCATGAATATGCATTAATAAGATTTACATGTTTTTAATTTTAAAAATGTTGTTGATGACATTATCCCTGTGTAACACTATGTCTACCTTTTTAAAGCACACAGAAGATATTTCTGATCCCAAATGTAGGAAAAATTGTGCTTCTCCTAAGTATATGTTTTGTTTATTCTTTTTGTTTTTATCCTAGAGACATTGTGAATTGTACAACCTTTCCTGATAATTTCCTCTTTGCTTTATCCACCTTATCTCAAAATCAAAATTTTGACAGCTATATGACTATGTTATCCTTATATTTTAATCCCAATTTTTCCTTGCTTTCATTTTAAATTTTTCTGTAGAAATTGTCAAAACTATCTTCTTATTGATTTATTCATATCATATGCTTCTGTCCTTATCTAACAAGACAAATTACCTGATTTTGCATAATAAAATAGAGCATTAACATGATAACATAAAAGTAAAACAATTGCCTGCTGTTCCCATGACTGCCTGCAAAATTTTATAGATTTATTTCTGTTTTACAATAAAAATACCAGCCTACCAGATAGAAAATGAAATAGGGAATATAAACCACTGTGATTTTGACTATAGGATAGGACTTTGAAGCAACCTAATTTAGATGTTATAGGATTAGACTACAAATTCTCCCATTTTGTGTTGCTGTCATTTGATTGTTTTATATGCTAGAATATTTTTAATAAATCATAAATATTGACTGACAAGAAAGCCACAAACATGGGCTGGGGATGTGGCTCAAGCGGTAGAGTGCTCGCCTGGCATGAGTGCAGCCCGGGTTCGATCCTCAGCACCACATACAAACAAAGATGTTGTGTCCGCCGAAAACTAAAAAAATAAATAAATATTAAAAAAAAAAAGAAAGCCACAAACTTACTTAAGAAAGGGTAAAGCTTTGGTTAATAAGTTCTTTTTTTAAATCACTCTCTACTTTGTAATAATTAACTATATTAATATGCATCACTATTATAGCAATTATCGTCATCATCCTCTCATTCTCAAGGTCTGTGCTTTTAATCACTGTTTGATATTCTTCATTTCTATAAGGACTTTCTTATTCCTTTGTAGTATTAATTAGGTGAAATTTGTTGTTGAAAAGATTAAGTACATTATTTACCTGTGTCTTTTTCTTATAGCTTTTCATTCACAAATAGAAACATTTAAGGCACTAGAGATTTCTAAAGCAAAACAGTTCAGTCTGACCTTCATTATTAGGACAAACTAATTCCCCTGCATTTATATGTGAATTATACCTTCTGCATAAAAATGCCAGATTTGCATTCTCAGGCCTCCCCGAGATTGGTGGTACACAAGGAGAAAATTAACATGATTTAAATTATTGACCTTCTTGTGACTCTCTGAGAAACAATTTTCTTTATATTTTAATAGGTAATAAAAATCAGAAACATGTTTTGAGACCTGAATCTCTTGAAGGAACAGATGAAGAGGATCCAATTACAGCCCTGGAATGGGACCCACTCTCTACTGATTATCTTCTCGTGGCTAATTTGCATTATGGAATTCGCCTAGTAGATTCTGAATCACTTTATTGCATAACAACATTTAATTTTCCAAGTGTAGCAGCTTCTATACAGTGCTTAGCCTGGGTTCCCAGTGCTCCTGGCATGTTTATAACTGGAGGTATACTCATCCCTACTCCTCAGAATGTTATTTATGTATACATTCTTTAATTGAATAAAGGAAATTATAGTCTTTTATTAGTTAATTTGTGTAAGACTTGTTAATTTCTCAAATATTTTCTTTAATTATAGTAAATGCTGAATTTACTTTTAATTTGTATGGTTATGTCATTTATATAAATACAAATAAAAATAAAATTAAGACCCAGTGTTCTAAGTATATGGAAATACAGTGTGATATATTATGTATGGGCACACATGTGTGTCTGTGTTTATGTGTGTACAGAAGACATAGTTTAACTTCAGGAATGGCAGGATGACCAGAAAAACAGTTTGCCTAGATAGGAGTTCCATTAGCTTCACTAATAATTATTTTGATAGCTCCTGACCAGATTCAATTAGGCAAACCCAAAGGTTTTCAACCCAAATTGAAAATGGTTCAGAGAAAGAGGCCTCTGAAGAAATAGTACTGTCAGTTACTGTATAAATGTTTCTTATATTTGCTTAGTACAAAATAAATAAGATTTTTATCACCTCAACATTTTTTAAGAAATCTTTACTTCTTTAGTACTTAATTTCCACATAGAAGTAGATGGAAGTAGATGTATGGATACACACACACACATCCTGTCATTTCACAGGAGTTAATGAATAAAAGCATGTATCTATTGTTATTATTTATGAGATATTTCACCTATCATAACATTTTACAGTTTTGAAGGATACAATTTAGTGGTTTCTAGTACATTTCTAGTACAACCATTATGACTACCCAATTACAGAACATTACAATTACAGAACATTTCATGACTCCCAGCAAACCGTGTACCCATTAACAGCCATGTTCCATTACTCCTTCTCAATAGCCCCTAACATACCCATGGACATACATAAACTGATCATTTGCTTTCTATCTCTATGGATTTGCCTACTCTGGACAATTAATATAAATGAAATCATTCCATATGTGACCTTTTTTGTCATGTTTTACTCAACATAAATACTTGAGGTTTTATGCATGTTGTGGCATATATCTGTACTTCATTCATCGTTATGGCTCAATAATATTATTCCATTATGTGGATATGCCAGATTTTTATTCATAGATACTTAGTGTTTCTATTTTATGCTTTTATGAAAAAATATTGTCAAACATTTATGTATAAGTTTTAGTGTAGATATATATTTATAAATCTATTAAGTATATGCCTATGAGTGGAATTGCTGGGTCATATGGTAATTCTTTTTGAAAGTTTGGGGAACTTTTCAGATTCTTTATCAAAGTTTCTATTAAGGTAGGATATTTGGAAGGAAGACTTTCTGTTGGTCTTCAAGTATATTTGAAAATCCTTATTGAGATGAACATGGACAATGGAGCATTTACAAACATTTCAAAATAGGAAGGATTATATAATGGTTAAAAGTAAATAGTTTGGGGACTGGGGTTGTAGCTCAGTGGTAGAGCACTTGCCTTGCACGTGCAACACACTGGGTTCGATCCTCAGCACCACATAAAAATAAGTAAATAAAATAAAGGTATGTGTCCATCTACAACTAAAACAAAAAATTAAATAGTTTTCTGTAGCTAACAGTTTCCTAGAGTAAGTGTATGTCAGTGGAATGGTTTTATGATAAAACTGTTATAATGATCTTTACCACGGGAAGCTGCAAAAGTAGGCAGAGTCTAACCCTATGAAAGGGTTTGTAGTAGAGGAAAAATATCTCCAAATTTAAAAATTGAATAACATTTTTGTAGTTTCTTTGATTGCAATACCATACTATATTGTTGTTCAAACCACGTCAATAATCAGTGCTAAAATTTTGCAAATGGAAGTTTTTGTTTTTATTTTTACATCTGGACACTTTAAATTTTGAACAAAATTTGTTAACACTTGGTTTTTTCATCATCTGACTAGATTCTCAAGTGGGTGTTTTACGCATTTGGAATGTTTCAAGAACAACACCTATTGATAATTTTAAATTAAAGAAAACGGGATTTCACTGCTTACATGTACTTAATTCTCCTCCAAGAAAAAAGTGTAAGTAAAAAATATTATCAAAATGTTAATATTTTAAATTATATTTCTTATTGAAGTGATGTGTAGTGATATAAATGTATCAAATAATAAATGCAACTGAGATGCAATTTCTTAGAAATATTCTCTACAGATTTATATATATATTCTCTACAGATATATAGGTGTGTATATATATAGATGCAGTAAAGAAAATAAAGGAACTGCCAAAGCCACAAAATAACTAATATCACTGACAATATATTTTTTCAATGAGTGTAAGATTCTTTTTTTAAATTTTGTTTTTTTACTTTTTATTTTTACATGGTGCTGAGGATAGAACCCAGTGTCTCACATGTGCTAGGCTAGTGTTCTACCACTGAGCCACAACCCCAGCCCTAGGTTTACAATATTTGGAGCCAAAGTGCTGTTAATTGTATTCAAATTAATCTTAAATTATCTCTGTGAGGAAGATGAAATAATGATAGTGGTTTAAAAAAGTTAGAAATATCAAGAATAATGAGATAAAACAAAATTGGTTTGACTAGGAGAATTTGTTTTATACATGGCTCATTTACCATCTGTATAGTTTATAACAAAGATAAAATAACCTAAATATTCAAATTATGGAATCTAGAAAATATATTTCATGTTTGAAGCCTGTTTTTCACTGGATTAGTATTTAGAACTGGCCATTCTATAAACTCTTCATTTATTTTCATATATTTTTTTCTGATTATCATTCATTGCTTCTATAATTAAGAAAAATAATAAAGCACACTTAAGTTATAAATGAAAAGATAGGGAACGTAGAGGAAGTTCAGAATTGGAATTTTTATTAAAGGTAAGAGAAAATAAATTGACTTCCTCTTAGGTCTGTCATGATTAAACTATGCAAATGGTAATGTTTCCATTTGGCATGGCTCATAAAAAATATGGAGAGGGGAATTTGTGTTTGGAAAATCTACAGCTATTGATTCCTCCTTACTCAAGCCTTTTTACCTTTATAATAACTAATAATTAGTAGTGACTACTTAAAGTAATATTATTTTGGTATCTAATTTAGTTGACAGTGGTACATAAAGGAAAAATCTCTCTATTTGAATCCTTGGACTTTCTACAAATTTTAGCTTTTTCATGGAGTTCTAATATTTCTAGACTGGAAACTTGAGAGTCTAGAAATATCAGGACTGATGAGGTAACATACCAAAAGCTGGCATATCATTTATATTTCATACATTTTTATGTCAGGATTTGTTACTTTGTTCAGTGGATGTGAATTTCCATATCATGTAATGATTGAGATAGCTCAAATTCTTTTCATTGATATTTTTTTTCTTATTCAAAAAGAAGTCTGTATCCATCAGGCAAAAGTCAGAATATAAAATTAAGCCAATGTTGTTATTTTTGAGTATTGCCTTTTGGATGACCTATTGTTAGACATTTATGAAAATAAAATTTTAAAATATGGACATACTCACTGAATTCTAAAAATAATAAATTATAAATTGATGTATAAATGTCATCAAGACCACTCATGATATCAAATAATAAAAATATTAGAAAAACAGTCATGGATCATATTAACTTTTAACTCAACTCTCAGAAATATTTTATCAAAACTATTGCTACCAAATGTCTCTTTTTTATTCATTGTTCAGTCTAATTTGGACTTCCTATCACTCTCAGGTTCAGAGAAATGAGTATTGCCTATAATGAATATGATAAGGAAAACTTTAGTTCAATTAAAAAAGAAAGATCTGATAATTTATAGTGGCATTATTTTGGATTATGTTTGCAAGAAAATAGTCATACTCTTAAGGAAAATCTAGAAAGATAAAATACAAAAAAATAATTGAACAAGGAGATATTTATATAATGGAAAATAAGAGAAACAGAAGTCTGAAAAATAAAAAAAAAATGAGGAAGAAAAAATAATAATTGAGGGCTGGGGATGTGGCTCAAGTGGTAGCGCACTCGCCTGGCATGCGTGTGGCCCGGGTTTGATCCTCAGCACCACATACAAACAAATATGTTGTGTCTGCCAAAAACTAAAAAGTGAACATTAAAAAAAAAATTCTCTCTCTCTCTCTCTCTCTCTCTCTCTCTCTCTCTCTCTCTCTCTCTCTCTTTCTCTCTCTCTCTTTAAAAAAACAATAATAATAATTGAGATGCAAATGTAAGGCAGATACTCTTGTGATTCTTATTTTGAGTGCTGAATTATAAATAATCTCAAAAATAATTGTTTTTATTCACTTGGAATTTAGTGGCAAAGAATTATTAGCTTTAAGAAGAAAAAAATCAATACATGTAGAATGTGGAGGGGAGAATATTAAAATGCTATGTCAATATTTTAAAGGGAGATTATATTTAAAAATAATCATGCTGTGCATTAATTTATGGGGAGATAAGAAACCAAATATTCACAACAGATTGTGATTCCTTGCACATTAACTTTTATCCATTTCAGTCCATCTGTTCTCCTATACACCTTTTCAAAATAAAATCCAGTTCTATGCTTATATTTCCACATTTTCTGGCTAATGTTGCCAAAGTGCTCATATAGCAGAAATTGTGATCATTGATATAGATTCTGGATTTTAAAACAAAATGAAGCAATGAAGCATCTTTAAATTAAGACCGTGGTTTCATTATACTGGGAAGCTATTGACATAAATGCTTACTTTTTTATTCATCTTCTTTTTTAGTTTCAATACAGTCTTCAAACAAAAATCATTATACATCCTCAACAAGTGAAGCAGTTCCACCCCCTAGTTTGACACAGAATCAAGCATTTTCTCTTCCTCCTGGTCATGCAGTGTGCTGTTTCTTAGATGGTGGAGTTGGTCTCTATGATATGGGAGCCAAGAAGTGGGATTTTCTTAGGGACTTGGTATGTCTATGATCATTCTTTCTATTACACAAAGCACTTAACTTTGCATAAATCTATCATGTTTACTTTTGCCTTTGTGTTGATATTCTTTAAAATTATTTTTGTAAGCAGTGATTTTTTAAGACTTTTTCTTAGTTGACTGAAACATTTGAAAATGCACAGAATAATGACAAAATTATTAAAATTATTTAAATGTTAATAAATAAACTTAAAAATATTAATATCTGCTAACCATGTGTTTTATGTAGTGAAAAAAACACAGAGCAGGAGCTTGAGATGTAGCTCAGTGGTAGAGTGTTTGCCTAGCATGAGTGAGGCTCTAAGTTCCAGCCCCTGCAAAACAAGAGAAAAAAAAAAAGTTGGAAGCAAAATAAGACATAGAATATTGCTTCAGGAGGAAAGAAATCAATCCCTGTCAGTTATTCCAAACCTTATTGTTTTCATTTCCTATATGAATTGAGTAAAATTGGATTAGGCATTTTATAAGACTTATTTCTATGAATGAATGATAATAACTCTTCTATAATTCTATGAATTCTGTTCTTATCATCATTAAGCCCTGATATAAGATGCAATACATGTCTCTTTGTGTTTTTACACTTTTGCATCCCCACTACCCAGTACAGTGCCTAGCACATAGTAAGACTTAAGTTTTGTTGACTGAATGAATGAAAACATGCAATAATGGATTTTATGTTGTAATTCATTCATCAAGAATCATCTTCCTTCATCTCCTTCATTATAAAAATAATCCTGTTACCCACAGGTTTGAAATAGATTAATCTAGACACTTAAGAAACTTTGTTGTTAATTACTTTCCTGTGATCTTACTTAGGAATGGACTCTAGACTTAAATTGAGCTTTTAATAAAAGAAGAACTAAATAAGATTGGATCATTTTAATACTGCTCCTTTCATTTTGTTCTCAATTTTAAAAATTAAATTAAAAAATTAAATTGAACTCTATCAAAAATATTTCTGAAACAATATGTAGCTTAGTTATTTTAAAATATTTATTTTTTAGATGTTTATTTGAAAATGATTTAATTTTATTTTTACTTTAACTTTTTTTTCCTTATAAACTCTTTCCCAGTTTGAAACTTTTTCTATACTTTAAATTACCATTTATTTTCAAACAAATTTATAACAGGGAAGAGAGAAAAATGTAACACCTTGAAATATATAAAATGTGCTTTAGTAGAAGAGAAATCATACAATTGAATTTAATAAATTTTCTATTAAGTATATAGGTTTAAATGTTTAAATGTTTCATATTTAAACATTTTGTTTGAAAACCTATGTTAAATTTGAAAATCTAATTAATACTAAAAGTTTTTGTGTTATTCCAGTGGCTTTTCTCCTTTTAAAAATATCTTTCAGTCAAAAGAGGCTGTCATTTTTCTCCTTATAACATTCTTTTAACACTGCTACAAATTTGAAATTACTAGGAATATTACTAGAAGAAATATTTCCTCCAAAGATTCCAGTTTACTTAATCCCATTATACATTATAAAAGACTATTTCCATAATAATGTTTATCTGTTTAAAACTACCAAAGAAAAAAGAAAAAAAAAAGCTATGTTTTCCTCTTTATTCTTACTTTCCTTTTGGTTAGAAGAATACAGAAAAAATATTTCTATTTAATTTCTTCTAGGTGAATTTTCAGAATTTCAAAAATGGAATTTGAATGTGTAACAGTAAAATAACATTTAAAAGTGCACATGTAGACAATTACTGCCTTAAGTATGTTCTTATCATGAGAAATGGCCAGCTAGAACAACTCCAGCCAGGTGAACCAGTGGCTATAACAATTTCATTTAGTTTTTTTCTAACCTTTGGGATTTTTCTTTCCAACACCTTCACCTAAGTGAGAGACCTTATAGTACTTCTGCATTTTCCTAAAGGTTGTGATTTCTGGTGTTAATAGAAATACATGGAGTAGAAAGGATGTCCTTCTCTATCTTTACAACATTGTTGAGGAATAGAAAGCCTTGTCCTTGTATTTTAACTCCCTCCCTTGATCCCAACATATTGCAGTTCTGCTGCTTAAAGCAGGAATTTCAATTCCTATTTCCTAATATTTGGGAGAAGACAAAATATAAATCTGGCCATTTAAGTTGGTTTTTAACAGATGTTGGATAGGCACATAGTGATTATTTGTCACTTTCTAGGTATATGTTTACATGTATCTGTTATATATACCACTTTACACTCTCGTGGGTGTTTGGAATCTGAATCACCCTGTAACATTAACAATTATTCCAAATCCCAAAGAATAGACTTTAGAAATTTTTAGAAAAAATTCCATTAAAAATTGGAGCCATGACTGATTCTATATCTGCTGAAATTCAAAATGCTTTTGGGGTATGTCATTTGTATAAAAAAGGAATATTTTCATTAATGGGCTTATAGCTTCAACATCCTTGTTGTCTTATGTTATACTGCAAGAATTATATATAATAACTATTAAGAGTTAATTACTTTAGGCTGGATAAAATGACATATGCCTATAATCCCAGAGACTTGAAAGGCTGAGGCAGGAGAATGGCAAGTTTGAGGCCAACCTCAGCAATTTAGCAAGGCCTAAGCAACTAGTTAGACCCTGTCTCAAAACAAAAAATAAAAAAGACTGAGAATGTGACTCAGAAGTTAACCCACTCCTGGTTAAATCTCTAGTACTGGGCAGAGGAGAAATGTCTAGCTTAGGATTCTGTACATTCAAAAATCAGAAGAATGTTTTGCATTTAATTAAAATTGAAAAATGAAACTTTTGAACATCTTTGAATTTAGTTGCTGATTTGAAGAACTGTGGTTTAGTAAAATCCAGGTCTGTACAAAATCCAGGTTGAACATCCCTAACTGCAAAATCTGAAATCTGAAACTATTTTGAATGTTAATAAAATAATGCCTCAAGCGAAAATCCCATAGTTGACAGGTCATCTGTGACTTGTAAGGTTACAGTAAAAAGTCACATGTGCTAGAAACATTCCATAAAATAATTTCAGCCTAAGCATATAAGGTGTTTATGAAACATAAATGAATTTCATACTTAGACTTGAATTGTATCCCAAATATATCTCATTATGTATATGAAACATTTCAAAATCTGAAATCTGTAATACTTCTGGTCCAAGCATTTTGGTTAAGGGATATGCAAACTGGAATAAAACACCACAAAGAACATTAAACCCTAGCAATGATTCCACTTTATATTTTTTGTTTGCCTATGTATATTTGCATTAATATCTGGAAAACCATATTATATGTATCATATACTTTGAATTATACATTATGGGTTGTTTTTTAGTAATGTAGATTTTCCTCAGTAGTTGTGACTTTTTTATACTGCATTCTCAGGGACATGTGGAAACTATCTTTGACTGCAAATTTAAACCTGATGATCCGAATCTTTTAGCAACAGCTTCATTTGATGGTACTATAAAAGTTTGGGATATAAACACATTAACAGCAATGTATACTTCCCCGGGTAATGAAGGGGTTATTTATTCCCTTTCATGGGCTCCAGGTAAGAAACATTTTATTAAAATACGAATGCAATCAAGTGACTTTCCTAAACTTTATTTTCATTTTAATTATCTTTTTTCCTCCAGATGTCTTTTGTTCCAAATGATCATAGAGGCAAATTAGTACCAATGTTTGGTTAGTTCAGTTCATGTTAGGTTTTAAAATGAATATTGGCAGATACACTTTGATTCCTGAGCCCTTTAAAATTATATAGTCATGGCTGAGGATATAGCTCACTTGGTAGAGTGCTTGCTTCACATGCGTAAAGACCCTGAGTTCAAACCCCAGCACCACACACACACACACAAAAGAGTCATACAGAGAAAAGCCACAGTAAACCTGAATGAGCTTGACTTTTACAATATTTGTATAGCTATGTGGTTAAAGGTATGATGTTTTACATGAAAAAAAAAAAGATTTCCTGAAATTTTCATGTGAACCAAATTTGTGAAAATAAAAACAATTTTTTTTTTCTTTTTTGGTACTTGGTACTGAACTCTAGAGTACTTAACCTTTGAGCCACTTCCCCAGCCCTTTTTATTTCTTTGGAGATTGAGGTCTCACACTAAGTTACTTAGGGTCTTGCTAAGTTGCTGAGGCTCTTCTTGAATTTGCAATCCTCCTGCCTCAGCTTTTCAAGTTGTTGTGATTACAGGTATGCACCACCATGCCTGGCTCAAAAATTTATTTTCTAAAAATTATAAAAGACTATTGCGCCTGTCACATCTGTTTTGTAAGTATGGGTGATTATATATCAAGTAATAATTCAATTGTAACAACTTAATTCTATATAAATTATACTTTTGTAATTTTGAAGAATTTTTATGCCTTAATGTGATTTTTCTTTAATCTTAGAAAGATGCTACCTTATACCTTCTTATTTATTAAGGTACTGAGGATTGAACACAGGGGTGCTTTACTACTGAGCCATACTCCCAGCCCTTTTTTTGAGACAGGGTCTCACTAAGTTGCTTAGGGCCTCCCTAACTTGCTGAGGCTGGCCAAACTCAGCCTCCTGAGTCATTGGGATTACAGCCGGGCACAACCATGGCCATACCTTCCTATTTATAAAGGAGAAGTGTCTTACATAATCTGACACTTCTCCAAAGACATTATTTTTCCATAAAAAATTATGTTTTACCTTTAAATGGATTTTCACTTTATACAATATATATGCTCACTTACTTATCATAATATATTAATTTAATTATAATGTATAACCAGGATATAGCTTACCCTTTTTTAAAAAACTTATTTCATTATACAAGGGGATTCTGTAACCTTGAATTTATGTGTCTCCAAGGTATTTAGATGTCTTCAAGGAATCTGAAAATCTCTTGAGATTTTATGAATAATTTTTAGTTTGTGTTTGTGTGTGTGCGTGCAGACGCGCTTGCCTATATCTATCAAAAAATGTAATAGTAATCAGATTTTCAGAGAGGTTCATGACACAAAAAAGGTTAAGGACTTTCTATATTTCTCATATACAATAAGATGTCTAGACAAAAATATTTTACTTATAATTCTTAATGATAGTTGGTGTTTGTCTCTTTATTAAATAGAGTATACCTAAGCTTGTGTTCTTAATCATTGCAGTACACAAATGTGTGGCAGGTTCTCCTGGCCAGCAGTATGCAACTGGACCAGCCTATCAGCTGAACATACAAAATGTATATGTCTCAAACTTAAAACTTAAGTAAAGATTTTGAATATGAGAACCATTGTTTCAAGTTATAACACAGACCTGCTCTTACTGAAAGCAGTCTTTCACTCTCTACATTGATAATTTGCATCAAGAAAGTAAAAAATGTTAAAAAATGGAAATTCTGTCATGTTTTACTGTGTGATTAGTTATGAATCATGGTTTTTAGGTAAATGTGGATGAAATTTAAAAGATGAATGTTGACAAGAATGGAAATAGGATATTGATTATTACATAATTTCTTCCAAATTCTAGAATATATACCCCAAGAAAAGAAAAAAAAAACTGTAAAAAAGTTTGGAAGTGATTTGAGAACCCAAAGGGAGCAATAGAATAAAAATACTATAAATATGATGATTTTTAGTATTCATGATAATTTATCACAGGGTATTCCTGTATGTTCATACTTCCAGCTGGTAGATGACAGCTGTTCCTTCCTTCTAGTGGGAAGAAACCTCTACTTTCATTGTCTTGCAAAAAATACTTAGGTCCTTGACCATCTGCTAACTTAATAGTAGTTTTATTTTCACAGATATATTTTATTTCTTAAAAATAGAAGGTATTGTTTATGCTTTTGAAAAATATTTTTTCATGTGATTTGTTTACAAAAGTATTCTCCTCATTACTAAAATATTATTGAAGAAGAATGAATAGTCATTAAATATATGATAATATTGAGGAACTATTGATAATTTTTGTGGTTTCATTATTATGTTAGTTTGTTATTGATAATAAAACCATCCATGTCTTTTAGATATATTTATTTATTAACCAAATAATATGATATCAGATATGTTCCAAAGATGTCCAGTAAAGGATAGATGAAACAGGATTGACTATATTTTGATAATTGTTGAAGTTATATAGTGGATACATTCATTGTATTCTCCTCTCCAGATTTGATGCATTGATAAATATATGCAATTATAAATTACAAATCTCAAGTTTTACATTAAAAAATTACATATTTGAAAGGACTTACATTTGTGGCACATATTTAATATATAATGTCTAATGTATTATTTCCTAAGGCGGCTTGAATTGTATTGCTGGGGCAACTTCCCAAAATGGTGCTTTTATCTGGGATGTTCAAAAGGGCAAAATGATACAGCGATTTAATGAGGTAAGCTATGTCTACCACTACTAAATAGCATGGTATCTTATACTACCTATTTTGTAAATGTTTTCTTTCTTAATCAACAGATGATAGCCTGGTGGCATATTATTCTGTCAATTAGAGGAATATGCAAGGAGGTATTCACATGCTAAAATTCATTGTGAGAATTATAGCTAAGACATAAAAATTCACCTGAAGTCTCATTACAGATTCAAAAGACTGTTAAGTCATCCTCCACTAAAGCTAGACAAATATTAAATAATGAGAGGAAAACTAAACTCAGAAGTCCCAAATTATAGTCCTGGTTCTGTTTTATTGTCTTGAATCTGTTTTTCACCTATAAAATTATAAAGTTTTATTCCATAATTTCTTTAATTTCCTCAGTCCTAAATTCTATTATTGCATGACATGCTCTAAAACTGGCCCTTTTCCTGTATGTAATGCCACAGATTGTATTTATCCTTAGGCTTAAATTATCATTCTGTGTTTTACTGAGTTCCATTAATACTTAAAAAATTTATATGATCTCATTGTAATGTTGTGTATGATTGGGACAGCAGGAATAGGATCTAGCATTGTCTCAATATCTTGAAATTTAATTTATTTTAAACAATTTCTGTTGAAGCTTATTAAATATATAATGCCTTGGGAAATTATTTATTTATTTGAAACTTTAAAACCATTTATACAAAAGACTCTTAATACCATTAAGGATGGCATTTCATAGCCTTGATCTCCCAGAGGATTCTATAGTAATGTAGCAAATGCATTTATGAGAAATTTTTCTAACCACCAGTAAGCAATTTTGTACTTAAACAAAGAGACTTTCATAAAGATGATATGGATTATATCCTTCCCTTTCTCTAAATATAATGAAACAATATTCTTTCAGTTCAGCAATGCTCCAACCTGTTCCCATCATCAGAACAACCTATCCCATAACAAATAATGAGATATAAAAGAAGTGAGCAGGAAGATGAAAGTTTTGATCAAGATTTTAAATGGTATCCTTGCTTAGCAGATTTGTTGATTTCTTCTTATTGCATCTTGGCACCTTTTGACCTAAAATATCTATCCATTAACACTTAAGAAGTTCCAACTAATTCTAGCAACTCAGTTTCATAATATCAAGCATATCTCTTAGGCTCATTCAGTATTTCCCCAGCACTCAATCACAGTTAAGACCAACATCAAAATTACCTCAAGTCCATGTTATAAATATGAGGAAATTTAAAGCTAGCTTTAATTAACTAAACTATATGAGTCCCCACAAAAGAAATGCAAGGAATTAGCCATAAATGCCCTTTTCATGGAAAAGAAAAATGAAGTTCTCTCTACCCCTCAAACTAAATAAATATATGGACTATATTTTTTATGTCCAGTTGTACAAATTTACTTTCCTTAATGCCCAAAGAGGTAAAGACAAACTGGATACTCCCTTAAGAAGTGGAATCTGTATATTTTTAAAGCAACTTGAAGATGCAAAATAAAAATAAAAAGCCACTTTAGCCAGGTGCAGTGGTGCTCACCTATAATCCCTGCAGCTCAGGAGGCTGAAGCAGGAGGATCTCAAGTTCAAAGCCAGCCTCAGAAACTTAGTGAGGACCGAAGCAACTCAGTGAGACCCTGTCTCTTACAAAAAAAAGAAAAAATGACTGGGGATGCAGCTCAGTGGTTACATGCCCCTGGGTTCACTCCCCCGTACTAAAAAAAAAAGCCACTTTAGTTTTTCCCTTAATGGCTGTCACAATTTAAATCCTACTTACATACATATAAAATAGAAATATTTTAAATTTATATTTAGAAATGGACTGATTATAATCTTTACTTATTCATTCATCACACAGTTAGTGGATGGCATTCCTATGTATATTTGTGTTTTAAAATTCTCATCACACCCCTAGACTATTGCCTTGTCCCAGAATGCAGAGGAGCAAGTAAACATAGACTGATTTATTATAGGAATAACTTTAAGTCTCCTTTTGTAATTAGTAGTCCTTTTGCGACTTAGAAGGGTGGCCCAGTAATAATAGTTATTTGCAATATTTCTTATACTATAATTGTAGTAGCTTGTTTTTGAAAGCAGACACATATATATCTTCATCTACAGACTGGCATTCACATGAAAAGACATGAAGCACAGCTTAGTTCTATGGATAACTGAAGAAGCAGATTTTGACTTTTCAGTGGTATTCAGCAAAAAAAATAAATAAATAAAGCCACCCAATATGTGCCTTAAACATGGGATTTGTTTAAGTGTGACACCTATACACATTCTTAAAGTATATATTCAGGTTTCTGATACTGACAAGAATGTCTTTTAGTATCACCTAGAGTAAGTTCCTAATAGAAAAGCAGTACTTGGAAGAAATAAGTAAATAAGAGAAAAAAGGGGTGAATTATTTCTTATTGATAGGAATTTTGCATTTTTTGAAGCATGGAAAAAATGGAATATTCTGCATTGCCTGGAGTCACAAAGATTCCAAAAGAATAGCAACCTGCAGTGGTGATGGGTTCTGGTAAGTACTGTGTATGATATTATGAAATTATCCTAATTATGAAAGACCCAGTTGATCATTCCAATTGTGTATCAGTGAGATCTTATTTGTATAGCTATACCAACTATCATAAATATTATTTACAGGTCAGTATAGGCACCTACTATATTGCTGTGTTTTATCATTAACAAATAACAATCCAATGGTATTTTAAAAATGAACCAATCATTTGCGTGCTAAATAAAGACGTTACATGAATTACAGCTAAAAGACTGAATTGCCTCAAGGAAACTTGAAGGACTCATCACATTTTGGGGGAAACTTTTGATCATTTGGGGGGAAGTAGTTCAGGAGACATCAAGTGCTCTAGAAAGTTGTTCACAGTTTTGTAGATTTATTATTTATAAAAGTTTAAAACATCTTTGTCAGGAGAAACATGGTGATGTAAGTGAGAAGTTCATTTTTTTTTAAAGGAGCTAACTTCATTGATCCTGTTTTTCAGAAATGTTCTTTCTTAATTCTGTTAAATCCCAGTAAAAATTAAATTTTTATGTAAAAAAAATACAAAACTACATAAGAATTAACTTGATATTAAAACTTTTTTTAAAAAATCATATTATGCTACCTTTGGCTACTTGCATAGTAATCTTTGACAGATATAGACACTCAGGGTTGCTAAGAAGACATAGAAGTTTGTCTTGTTGGATTTTTCTAGACTAAATCCAAGTTTCCTATCCTCAGTTTTGAATTTTAATAGAGAAGACAAAAGCTGTGTAAACAAAGGATTCTTTACCAAGAAGTTAAAATTCTTAGAATTAATAACATTAGTTGATGGATTTCATTAAAGGAACTATTTACAAATTGGAAGATGCTAAACTGCAAAAGATACACATGAGAATTTTTGACTAAGCGATACATCATTAAGTTTGTCATGTATTTTCAAGGCATTAGTTATTTGATAAATGCCATATTCAGTAACTAAACATTTCTAAGTCTTCTTCACCTGACTCACTAGGAACCCCAAAAGTTTTGGGAGACCTAATGTCATTTAAGAGTGTCTTTTCCCTTTGGAACTTATAATACTTTAATTTACACAAAGCTTTTCCCCCCTAATGGAATTGATATTCCTTGCATTGTGACAATAATAGAATAGGGTACTAGAGCTTTTTAAAATAATTAAATAATGTAGACTCCTTTACAGGAGCTAAGAATTAGGGGTGTTCTCTGAATATCTCATTATATAACTGAGAATATGCTATCAAAATGTTATAACTTATAGGTCTTAGTGTAATGGTTATACAACCATCTTTATAAACGAATACTATAAATCTCAAACCACCTAATTATGAAGCTAAAAGTCTAATGCCCATGTTAGTTGTATCATTATATTTTAAAATGTATTAAGTTATATTTTCCTCAACTAAAAAATAATTCCCCAAACAAATTTATCACACTTAATTTGCTTCAAGTGAATTACCATAATTAATATTATCTGTACAGATGTATTTGTAACTGGCAATATTATTTATGTAGTACTTTTTTTTTTTTAATTTTTTATTGTGGGTTGTTCAAAACATTACAAATTTCTTGACATATCATATTCCACACTTTGATTCAAGTGGGTTATGAACTCCCACCTTCACCCCATACACAGATTGCAGAATCACATCAGTTACACATCCATTGATTTACAAATTGCCATACTAGTGTCTGTTGTGCTCCGCTGCCTTTCCCATCCTCCACCCTCCCCCTTCCCCACCTCTCCCCTCCCCTCCCCTCCTCTCTCTCTACCCCCTGAGTACTTTTAAATGTTTCTTTTAATTTGCAAAAACGCTTCTATCCTAGAATTCTATCTTTGAAACTTACAATTTTGACTTTGTTCTCCCAAATAATGTATTTAGAATGTCCTTTTCTTATTAACAAATTTGCAAAAATGCTTCTATCCTAGAATTCCATCTTTGAAACTTACAATTTTGACTTTGTTCCCTCAAATAATGTATTTAGAATGTCCTTTTCCTATTAACATGTGATAATGAATTTCAGTATTATCCGAACAATTGATGGTAAAGTACTACACAAATACAAACATCCAGCTCCAGTGTTTGGTTGTGATTGGAGCCAAAACAACAAGTAAGTGTTTTTTTTTCCTGAAATAAGTAATAATCTTATATCACAGATTTTAAATTACCATGAAATTTAGTTTTATTTCCATAGATAATACTCGTCTCTCTTTTTTGATATTTCCCTGCCTAGAAAATGAGAAAGAGCTTTGTAATTGCTAATTTATTTTAGCTGTTTTTATTTCATAAAGTTTTTACATGGAAATTCTGATTTACTGCTCTCAAGACAACTTTCTGATACTTTGGAAAAAAGCATACTTCTAATAAGAAAAATAGAAATAAGTCCACTCTATGTGTGGCTTCTACCATAGAAATGTGGTCCTTTCTCTAATTTCTTTTAGGTATCTCTGCAATGGTATTGTTCCATCATGGCTTCCTATTGGTCTTCACCTCAGGTTAATGGCTCTGCATTGAGTAATTTCCCAAGATGCAGAACTTAAGTGGATGGGTTTTTTGTTGTTGTTGTTGGTGGTGGTGCTGATGGTACTAGGGATTGAACCAAGGACCTTTTGCATGTGAGGCAAGCACTCTACCAACAGAGCTATGTCCCCAGCCTCCCAAGTTGGATGGTTTTGAAAAGGCATCATTGCTTAAGAGCTGAGTATATATTATGTAAAAATAATGCAAGACTTAAAATTAAATCCAAGTAAAATTTTACTAAAACTAGACCTTTAACTCACTTCACTTCAAGAATTTTGTGTTTCAAACCACTCTTTGATATGATATGGATTATATTTAAAAATCCAAACATTTGACATTTGTCAAATATCATGAATTATCTTATTTTTTTTCATACTACATGTGGGAAATATATAGATAAATAAGAGCCAGATGCAGTGATGCACACCTGTAATCCCAGAAGTTTGGTAGGCTGAGGCAGGAGGATTGCAAGTTCAAAGCCAGCCACAGCAACTTAGCAAGGCCCTACACAACTCAGGGAGACCTTGTCTCAAAATAAAAAGGGCTGGCTGGGGATGTGGCTCAGAGGTTAAGTGCCCCTGGGTTAATCCCTGGCACAAAAATACTTAAAGCTTTATTATTCTTGTGTTCTGAATCAAATCATGGTATGATACAAAACGACTGCCATGTGTATTTGTTCCAGTAAATATTGAGGAATTTGTTAGCATCTTGTTAGGTTATACACAAAATAGGCTGGTGACTAGCACATTCCCCACTGAGCCATAATTCTTGCCTCTTTCTACCTTATAAACTCTCAATTTTCAGAAGCCATCAATGCCTGTCATACTCTTTACAAACATCCCCCTGCCACTAAACTGATGATATTTATTTGCATTTTCCTTTACTCTTAGATGCCCTCAAAAGTCTTCTAAACCAATTCCAGAATTTACATTTTTGTTACCCCTTTTCCCCAGCCACCTCTGTTTGCTGATATAGCAGCCATTTAAAATATAGATCTAAGAATCCATTCTACTATTTAAATCCTTCAATAGTTTCCCAATAATTACAGGATAAAATGCAAACACTTAGGCCCTATGAGGAACCACTATAAATTGGGTTTGGTGTACTTCATTAATCTCATTAATGAAGCCTTGCCCCCCCCTGCTCCCTGCATCTACTCACATTAGCTTTCAGTTCTTTGTATTGTCCAGCTGATTTTCAGCTCAAGGCTTTCACTGAAGCTGTGCCTGTTAGCTAGGATTCTACTTCCCACCACACTGTACATACCACACACCCCACCTGGGCTGGACAAAGAACTGCCACCTATCCTTCAGCTCTGAGCTCAAAAACTTTTTACAAAAAAGTCTTCCCTGACCTCAATATTTTGTGCCTTTGGATTACTTATTATAATAAAATTGGATTTTGAATTGTGTGATTGTTTGCATATTAACTATCTCATATTCTATAATGTAAGTTCCGTGAGATAATTCTGTTGTCTATGTTTAGCAGAATATTATTAACAAAACACTGGGTTGCAAAACTTTATTGTCCTTTGAAGAGATAATGTTCAATAAATATTTGTTAAATATGAATAGAATTACATTATATCTGAATAATAAAATAGTTCAATAGAATAGCTCCATATTCTTATTTGTCTCTTTTAAGCATTTGGGCAGTTGGAATAAAAATTAAATTTTCAGGCAATATAATTAGTTGTTTAAGAAACACTGAGAAAGGAATTTTTTCTATACTGGGACAGTTGCTGCAAATGAGCAGTTAGCATAATTATATATGATGTTTTTATATATGTAAGGTTTTAGTCTTCACAAAAGAAGCAGACAATGATTTCTTTAGAAATTAGAACTATTGTACATTTTTTAAATTATTAGTAGAGAATAATATCAAAGTTATCATATTTTAATGTTCCATGGATGACATTTCAGAGACATGATTGCCACTGGCTGTGAAGACAAAAATGTGCGTGTCTATTATGTAGCCACCAGCTCAGATCAACCATTGAAAGTCTTTAGTGGACATACAGCAAAAGTTTTTCATGTTAAATGGTCTCCCCTGAGAGAAGGAATTCTTTGCAGTGGATCTGATGATGGGTATGTATTTTTGGATTCTAATTTTCTAGTACTTAAAATCATAAACATATTTCCCAGAGATGCACATATTTATATGATCAAATTATATGTGGGTATACTTTAAATTTGCGCTTAAAAAGCAGGCAGCTAACAACTAAAACTAAATTCAGTAAAAAAATGTTAAATTCTTTTATGCTTATGGTATCATTATAGTCATGGCTTTTATTTTCTTGTATATTTTGCTTATTATGAATGCTTATTTCTAGCATACTGGCAAGAAAATAAAAACAAATTTTAAAAAAATACATAGGAAAAGGGAAGATCTGAAAAAAACTATAAAATATTAAGAGTTTTTAATAATGTTCTTATGTTTGATATGAAAAACAGCTGTATTATTTCATCAAGAATGGAATAAAAACTAATCATAAATTTTAGCATGAAAAGAACATTTTAGAAATGAAATGGACTTAACATTTTTCTCTAGTGGTGGCAGTTTCTAACATTTTGTCCATATTTTATATTCAAAAAAGATACATTTATACAGAATGGTATGTTTAATCATTACTTGAAGATGGGATAAATTTGCGTAAGAAAAAATCTTACTTTTTATCAGTACAAGTCAGAATGCATAGTATCCATGGGTTTAAAATTAAATAATTAAGCATTTTCACCTTAAATTTCTGGCATAAATTCAAATTTAATAGAAGAAACAATTATGAGGTTTTGTGGTTTATTACTTAAAATATTATTTCAAATATGGTTATTATTTAAAAGTGAATATTATTTATGAAATTATTCCAGTCTCTCAACATAGACTTCAATGTCTAAATTCTGTTCCATATGGAAAAAGGCATAATATTAATTATTATCTAAGGATTATTTTCAGAAAGACAGCAGTAAGCATTTTACTTATTTATGGTAGTGAAAATTGAAAGGCTTTAAACTAAGATTATTCCATTAGTATTAACTGTTTATATATATAATTGTTATTCCTCACTAAATTTATCTAGCACTTTTAAATAAAGGTAAAAATGTAAGGAAACTATTAATTACTAATGTATTCAGCATAGCTCACAAATACTATACCTCATCCTGGGAATCCTAGACAATTCTCATGTATAGTGGGACATATAAAAACCTTTCTTATGTTCATTCAGAAAACATATATGATTTCAAAACCTGATTCCTTTCATGAAAGGAAGGACCCCATTCTAGTGAGTCCCCAACAATAGCATTTGATTATTTTGATGGAAATCAATTGAACATATTCTTATCTATGAAAGCATGATAGTAAACTGTAAATATTTAAATGTTAACCTATTAGGAAACTAGCACCAAAACTTGTAGGTTATAATATGTTCAGATATACATTCATCCCTGAGTATTCATAAGAGATTGTTCCAGGATACCACATGCACACCAAACTCTGAATATTGAAGTCCCTTATAATCTATGGACATGTTCCAATTATACTTGAAGTCATGTCTGGATTGCTTACAATATTCAATATACTATAAATATTATGTAAATAGTTGTTGGACTGTATTGTTTAGGGAATAATGAAAATTAAAAGTCTGTACATGTTCCATACAAATGCAGTTTTAAAAAAATATTTTCTCTCCATACTTGATTGAACCTGTGGATGTAGAACCAATGGATATGGAGAACTGATTTTATTATCTCATACTAGGAAGATGGGAGAATGAAGGGAGCCTTTTTATATAAAGTACAAAGATATGCTTTAAAGAAATAAAAGTACATATTGTATCTCCCTTATAGTGCAGTATAACCTTTGACATACCAATATTTTGATATTGTCAGGTTGGTATAAGTTAAAAACTTATTAGCATTTGGAGGTCTTAGGTTGATTTTGAATTCAAACTTTGATTTCAGTAACATTTGTACTTTGTGCAATTAGTAGATCCAAGTAATATCATGAACCTACTTATATTTAAATTTTTACTTGTCTGAGATTGATTCCACATTGACCAAGAAAGTTATTTTACTGACCCCCAGCCATGAAGGAATGATTTACTATTTAGGTAAAAGCATAAATTTATAATGATTTTTCAGATAATATCCATCATCATATATGTATTTTCATGATATGCAAATAATTTTAATGTTGTGTTTCTGTTATCAGTCATAGTTTATTTTCAGTTATATCTGTTCCGGATATTTCATTTTAAGAGAGCAACTTTTTCATATATAAATTTTAAAGCAGTATATTTGATATTTATTGCTTTAAAATGACCAGTAAAAATCAAAAAATAAAAAAAATGTTGGAATAAGATAACTCTGGCACAGTTAAATGTTCATTTTCCTCTACTATAACAAAGAGAATTGATATATCTTGATCTATAAAATGCATTTCAAATCTGCTAATAATCATTATGATTCATTAAGAATGTTAATACTTTGGATAAATTATAATTTGAATTATATACACAATATTCTATTTTCAGTTCTGTTCGAATCTGGGATTATACTCAAGATGTTTGCATAAATATTCTTAGTGGACACACTGCACCGGTGAGGGGATTAATGTGGAATACTGAGATTCCATATCTACTAATATCTGGCAGCTGGGACTATACTATAAAAGTGTGGGACACTCGGGAAGGAACTTGTTTGGATACTGTATATGACCATGGTGCAGATGTGTACGGTAAAGAGTTTTTCATGTATTTGTTATTTTGATACATTAATGATGCTTATAATTTCTGAGTAGTATGATATTTGTAAAGAAGTGTTACAGCATTTCATTTTGGAAAAAATTCTCATTAGAAAATGTTTTTATTGAAAGATTAGAATATTTAAAAGAAAACTGAAGAAATTGTCAGAAATTATCAGAAGATGATTATTGTTAGCACTGTTTTTCTCTCTCTGCAGGTGTATGTTTCTGTGTACACACACATATGCACACACAATACATACATATACCCATGCACATATGTGCATATCTGGGTCAAATTTTCCCTCTTGCCTTCCTATCATTTCAGAGTTAAGTTGCAGAAAAGGAAATTAATAGTAGAATAGATAAAACTCACTTAGTCATTCCTCTATCTGGGGACACTAAGGGAAATTTTTAAAACATATACCACCAAGTTTTTTAGTACAATTGAGCTAAGTATAGAAAATCAAATTACTTATCTTTTGCATATCATTTTATTCTCTGTTGTATTAGTTAAGGAAAGAAATTCCTTAGAAAAAGTATCCCAAATCCGGTTATTCAGATCTATATGCTTTACCTCAGTGGCCTTTTAGCTGAGGCAATGTGGGACTGCGTGTAGGGGAGAATCCTATTTTTGATATTCTCAATTGAGATGTCTTCAATTCTGTTTTCATCTTGTTAACTAGAACTTTAATCTATCCTTCTGTTAATTCATAGATACCATATGCCCTGTTGGTATTACTGTATACTTGCTGCTTATCCAAATGAAATATAATTTCAGCATTTTCACACGGGACTATTTGTTTTCTAATAATTATTTAATTTTATATTCATATTATAGAATATACTAATAATTTATTAAGTCTTCTATTATTGTCAGCCATATTAATTAAAAACAAGTTGAAGTTTGATTCTGATAATCTTTCAGTTATTCACCTTCTTCATGACTTCTATTCTGCAGATATTTTAAGAATCAACTATAAATAAGATTTTTTTCCCAATGTTTACTTTAGTTAAAACAGGTTTATATTTTTCCATCAGGTTTAACATGCCATCCAAGTCGCCCCTTCACTATGGCTTCTTGCTCCCGTGATTCTACAGTGAGACTCTGGTCATTAACACCTTTAATCACTCCTTTACAAATAAATATTCTGGCAGACAGATCTTGGGAAGAAATTATCGGGAATACTGGTATTGAACATATGCATGCATTTAATTTTATTTTTAAATGAATTTTTATTTTCAGATAATATTTTATAGGAAAATTTTTTTCTCTCTTCTTCAGATTGTGTCATAGAACAAGGCACTCCTCCTCTGTTGTGTGGTAAAGTGTCAAGAGATATTAAACAGGAAATAGAAAAACTGGCTGGTAATCCTCGAGTGAAAAAATTAAGATGGTTTTCAGAATGTTTATCAGTAAGTATTATAGGAATTAAGTGTGATCCTTTAGACAAAATTAATCACTGTGGCTATTGCCAGTAAGTTGTCACATATTTAAATTCACCATCCCACTTCAGTGGACCCCTTTTAATAAAATCTCTACATTATAAGAAAGCAAATATGAAATCAGAAATAAGTGAGATAGTATGTACTTATTATTTGGCTAATTTCAGTATAGATAATCTGATTTACAGTATTTTTGAAGATGCAAAATGCTGAAAGGATTTTTGTTCACCTTTTTATCTTTGGTTATTCTATATCAACATTTTAGCCTCCAGGTGGCAGTGACAATTTATGGAACTTGGTGGCTGTGATAAAAGGGCAAGATGATAGTTTACTTCCTCAGAGCTACTGCAAAGGAATAATGCATTTGAAGCACCTGATTAAATTTAGAACAGTAAGTAAAGTATGCAAATATAATATATTCAAGCAACTTTTCCTTTTTCACTATTAATGTAGGAAAATTACATTAATATACATAATGTAATTAATCACATTATGTATTATATGAGTATCTAATCACATTAATAATTATTATATTATGTGTTTTATGATTACTTTAATCATAGAAATTATATTCATATTTATATGATTAGATTGGTAAACTAAAATAAATGAACACTGAGGAGATAAATCTTCTGTAAAACCAATCATGAGAGCATGAATTATTTGAGAACAGATTAAGGTACCCATATTTTCATAGGTTGAATCTCATGACATTTTTAAGGTCACTTAAAATTCCTTGAAATGCCTTATCTTTCTGCAATTACAAGATTATTGTGACACAATAATAATAATAAGTACTATGATTTTTAGCCTCAGAGGATCTAAGAGACTGTATGCCAACATATATTGTATTAAAACTGATCATATTGGAGATTTAATGAATTTTAGTAGAGGATTATTAACTAACTCATAACTAGGGCAATATGTAAGAAAGTAACTAGGGCAATATCTAGTATCAATAACAAAATCTATACAGGGTCAGGAAAATAGAGATATATTATTTTTAATGAAATATCAGCAATTAACTATTAGAGCATGGAGAAAATCATGTTAGGAAGGTGAAAGAATTATTTTCATAAGGAGGAAGCACTTTCTTCAATCACAAACTAAATACCTAAAGACTATAGCTGAAAAATCTATTGACAGTACGGGGGTCAAAGACAGCCAGTGATTTTTTTTGTTTTCATTCAAGATTTTTGAATTTTTATTCAAGATCTCTATCAGTAGTATGTTATTTTAGACTCCCTTTGACCCCCACTCTTTCACTTACCTACAATACCTGGAGAGTATTAACAGGATGCAACTTCTTTCCCACACCACACTCCCATGCACATGCCAAAATATTATGTTTTTAAAAGTATCATATTTCATTGAAAAACATTATTTTTAATATTTAATTTCCAATGCTATGTGCTTTTAAAATGTCTGGCTCTTATATAACAAAATTTTAAAATTTTTGTTTTCTTTTAATCAGTCTGAAGCCCAAGAACTAACAACAGTCAAGATGTCTAAATTTGGTGGTGGTATTGGTGTACCTACTAAAGAGGAAAGACTGAAGGAAGCTGCTGAAATACACTTGAGATTAGGACAAATTCAGAGATACTGTGAACTTATGGTTGAACTTGGAGAGGTAATATGCCATTAAAACAAAATTATTGAGTTTAATATAGTACTCTAAATATTAAGAATACACTTAATACTAAGTATTCAAATATGAAGCTAGTTTTTTTCAGATCCAGCTGATTTCCTAGCAGTCTGATATCAGCTATATATCCTAGGACAGTAGTTAACAAAGTGAGTTATCCAGGCTAGCAGCATTTACATCACTTGGTAGCATGCACGTCCTACCCCCGGCCTACAGAATCATAAACTCAGGGGATAGAGCCGGATAATCTGATTTTGTAAGCCCTCCTGGTTGTTCTTATGCATGCTAAATTTTCAGAACCACTGCCATGAAACCCCAATTGCCTAATTTGCATGCAGTAAAATCCTCCTTCTAATAAACTCTGTGGTGACTAAATTCCACGCTGACAAGAAGAGGGGTTTTCATTGAGGATCCTCTGATGAAGAGTACTTAGAAAGCATATCGTGATTTTTATAGAGGACTATTTCAATAGAATAAATTTTTCAAAAAATGTTTGAATGAATCTATGCTATTAAAATTCAGGACAATGGTTACCTTTAGTAGGTGGGTAGTGATTAGAATGGAACAGAGGCTGGAGTGCTTGTTTCTTTGATCCTGGGTACAAGTTGTATGGTAGATACACTTTGTAAAAATTCATTGATCTTTTCTCTTTTCTGTAAATATATTTTAGCTCAACAAAAATTCTCCACCTACCTACTCTGCTAAAACAAATGTTGAAATGGTGTGGACCCAATTATCACTTTCACAACCTCTAAGTTAGTTAATTTTGTAATTATAAGGTGTGATTTAAAGACTACTTGGAAATAATATAAAGTAAAACTAAACAATGTAGTTACGTTAAAATATATCAAAATCAAATTTAACTCACCTTTTTACTTTCCCACATATTTAGAGGCAATTAATTACTACTTGAAATAATAAAATATATCATTTAATATATTCAATAATATTTTCAATATTATTAATATGTTTAATTTAGAGTAATGTAAAAATTTTATTATCACATAAAAAAGTAACTTTTGAGTCAAATCTTTAACAGCACATTACTAAGAAGAAAAATCTATCAAAAGGAGAAAAGGAATGAATGAGTTTTGGTAGAACAGTATAATTCTTTACTTTTCCAAGTGTGTGTGTGTGTGTGTGTGTAATTTTACACTATCTTAACTGAAAAACTTTCTCAACTAGGTATCCCTAAGAAGCTTAATAATTTATTGTTGTACAGATTCATTGATGCTCTTAAGATTCATAGAACTGTTTATAGTTTTTTTTTTAGAAATATGGGTGTGCTTGTAACTGTTTATAATCACCTCCTCAGGAATAATCTCTATTTCAATAAGCTTAATCTCTATTTCAATAATCTCTATTTCAATAAGATTTCAATAAACTATGGGTGAAGAAAACATTTCATCTTTTCACTTATATTTTTTATTTTGTTATTGTTCTTTCAAGTTATACATGACAGTAGACTATATCTTGACATAATTATACAAACATGGAGTTCATCTTATTCTAATTTGGAGCCCAGTCATTTGTTTGTACAAGATGTGGAGATTCACTGTGGTGTAGTCATATAGGTACATAGGAAGATTAAATGAGATTGACTCCACTGTCTTTCCTATTCCTATGCCCCCTCCCTTCCCTTCATTCCCCTTTGTCTAATCCACTGAATTTCTATTCTTCCCCTACTCCTCACTGTGTGTTAGTATCCACATATCAGAGAGAACTGATATGTTTTTATTGAAAGAGCTTGGTGGATTCAAAGTTAATAATCTATATTCCAACATTTTTCTTCCATTTCCCCTACTATAATAAATACATTTCTCCTAAAACTTATTATAGGGTACCTTTCAGGTAACATGATTTTAAATATGTATTTTCAGAAATGAACTATTTAAAAGTCAATGTTATCTTAAGTTAATTACTAATTTTTAAGGCTTCATTGCAGTAGAACTCCATTATTTTGGAAAGTCTAATTAAGTGAAAATTTTGATTCATGTAGTGATATTTCAGTATATTTTCTCTTCATCTCCTTTTAGAACTTGAATTCAGAAAATTTCATATTTTCAAATTAGTCATAATTGGCCTTAACTGAATAATGAGCTCCTCAATAGCAGTCTAGTTTTTAAAATAAGACAAACATTATTGATTATAAGGATAGAAATGAGAATAAATTTTATAAAATGAATATGAAAAAAATAAAAAGAGAAGTAAATGGTGTATTTCTTCAATCAAATAATGTTAAAATTAAAAATTTCAGTATTATTTTGAATATAAACACCATAGAACAAATTGTTTTGGTGTTGTGTTAGAATATGAGTTACAATATTTTCTATACACCTTAGTTACTATCTTTTCATCTCCTTCCTGTCTCAATTTTGCTTCTTCTAGCCCTCCTTCTCTCTTTCTTTGTCTCTAGGTTTGTGATTGGATTTTCCCTGTTAAATACTAAAATTTCACAGATTTTATTTTACAACATGGTAATATTTAGTCTGTGTGGAATGCATTAGATAGAATACAAAAATATTCCTGAAAATTCAAGAACTCTAAAAGTTCTGTATTATAAATATGAATTCATTTAAAACCCTGATATAAGTATAATCAAAATAGGTATGTTTTTATCCTTCTTGCCTGTGATCCTAGTGGGACAAAGCCCTGTCAATTGCACCAGGGGTCTCTGTGAAATACTGGAAGAAGTTAATGCAGAGGTAAGACCAACTGTCTGCATCCACATAGATGTTTTAAAATCATATGCTAAGGATGTGTAACTGATGTGATTCTGCAATTTGTATACCGGGTAAAAATGGGAGTTCATAACCCACTTGAATCAAAGTGTGAAATATGATATATCAAGAACTATGTAATGTTTTGAACAACCAACAATAAAAAAAATCATATGCTAAAATAGAAGCAATATGTAAATGTGGTAGTGTTTCTTCAGATTTTTCTCATGTTGTCTTATTTAATATATGAATTTTTCTATCTACTTATAAAAGATTAATAAATTGGTTACAAATCATTCTGATATTCTTATATTTGTCCTTTCCTCTGATGAAGACAGAAGACAAATTTCCCCATATAAATGAAGGCAAAGGCAAACCAGAAAACATGCTTACTGATTAATATCACTATTGAAATAAAAGTAAAAAGATTTTCTGAGGGCTATCAATATAATATTCTATTATTTGTAGAATCTAATCTACAGTCTAGTAGGAGACATTGAATTCTGCCATTTCTTCTCTGGTATAAGGAAGGTACTGATGATACAGAATGGATTGACCACCGAGAAAACGTACCTAAATGTCCTTGTTTTAGAATGCTATAAACCAGCAAGATTTTTTCTCAGGTGGATCCATTTCCTAGGGTTGCTGTAACAAGCTGTCACAAACTGGATGGCATAAAACTGTAGAAATGTGTCCTTCATGGTTCTGGAGGTAAAAAGTCCATAATCAATTTGTTGGCAAAATTGGTTACAACTGGAAGCTCTGGGGAAGAATCAGTTCTTTGCTTCTCTCCCAACTTTTGGTAGCTACCACCAATCTTCAGTTCCTCATGGTTTATAGCTTTAAAACCAGTCAAAGGATAAACATGAAATCCAGAAGGATTTACATATTTCCCTGGGAAAGTAGACTGTTCCTCAGCACCTGCTGCCCCAAAAGAAAGCTAAGCAATAAGCTGACTCTCATTTTCAGACTATAAGCTCCCAGAATCACAGATATTTATAGATTTCTCTACCCTCAAAACATACTTGTGAAAGTTACTGCTCCCACTTACTCATTAATAAAGTCTGGACAGCAGCAGAGACTTATTTCATAAAACACTGTTTCAACCTCAGCAAAAGCTTAATTTTATGCCATTTAGGAACTAAAAGGGTGTTAAGATAGCTAGAGTACAGAAGCCAGCATTGGGCGTGGCGCCAAGTGAAAGAGAAAAAGGTAGTTAGGAGCTAAATGTTTGGGGGTTTTGTAACATGTTAAGCTTTTTCTTTTTCTTTCTTTCTTTTTTATCCTATGAGCAACTGAAGACATTAAAAACTTTAAACAGAGTAGAAAGTGACCTGATCAGAATTTCATTTTGAAAGTTCACACAGGCTAAAGTATCAAGAACAGATTAGAGAAGGTCAATAGCAAATATGAGGAGACGAGTTGAAGAGCATGAGAACAATCATGTCAGGAGACAACAGTGGCACAGTTAAATGGTAATGGGGGAGAAAAGTGGAAAAAATTGACATATATAGGATTTAAAATTAGCTGGACTTGGTAATAGTGGTGAGGAAGGTGTCACAAATAATTCCTCAGTTTTAGGTTTTGAAACACTGTTGCTATTCACTGGGATTTCAAAACAAAAAACCAACAACCCCCCAAAAGTGAAATTTAGGAGATTATTTCATTCAAAGGAGACATAAGATCCTTAGTTCTCTTTGGACATGATGAGTTATAGATTCCTTTGTGATTTTAATAGGAATGTCAAATAGATAATCTTGATTCGGTAACTCAGAATAAATCTGTACAAATGGAAGGTATCCTTAACTTTAAGAGCTGCTTGGCCAGAAAGGAGACTGAGACAAGATTAGAAGGGGCTAAGGGAGGCAATGGGAGGGAGGGGAAGTTGCAGATGGGAATACAGACAACGTTTCCAATTGTATTTCATTGATCTTCATCAGTAAACACCCGATTTTTTTCTGCTCTTTACTCCAAATAATGGGCATAAAATGATCTCCCCACAAATCCTGAGGTTTATATTTTATAGATCCAGCCCATTCAGGCCGTCACGTAGAGAGTTTGATTGGAACTCTCTTGACTCTGCTTCCAAAATGTCCAGGAGAGTAGAGTATTTTCTAAACATCTACTATGAGGAAATCAGGATGAGAAGTAAAGGCTGTTGAGGAGTACCCAGTTGAGTCTATGAACTAGAGATGGTTAACTGGAAGTTAGATGAACAACATGAAAATTATCTCCTCTATCAACCTAAAGATTAGAAGTTAAACTTCAGCATATTTAAAATGCCAGCATAAATTATATATACCAGTTTAATCTGGAACAAAACTTGAGTTAAATTTTAGGATAGAATGAACTAGATTGATCATTGAGAAAATATTTAGGACTCAGGGAGACAGATAGTGATGAGTACGGAAATACAGATACACAGAAACAGATACATGTATACCATTCAGTATCCAGAATCATGATCCCTGTTTTCCCCTCATATGTCTGGAATATTAATTTATCTTTAAAGATCTTTGCTTGGGTTACTTACAGTATTTTGCATTTTATTATCAATATTTATTATCCTTTTTAATACTACTTCAACTTAAGAGGCTCTCTGTTCATTGTTATTCTTACTAAAACACATAAGATTCTGTCTTTACGTAGACATCCACATATTTGATTAATCCAATTGAGAGTAAATATACAGTCATATTTCCATTTTACAACTTACTTTCAAATACATTGTTCATTTTAGTAAATGATTAAAATACAATGAAAATGTAGTGTTATAAGGCTAAATATATATCTGTAGTATTATCTTATATAACTTTTATGTCTTCTATATGTGAATTCATTATAAAATCTGTATTTCTTTAAATGATGTCCCCAAAAGCTTTATGAAATTTGCTACAAATTTTAGACATGATTTCAGAAAATATCAGTCCAACTGAAAACCTTGAAATTAATATTTTGCTTTAATTTAATATAGTATAATAAAAATTTTATTTTATTAGGAGAGCTGACCAATTAATCCAGGAAGATAAGGATGATGTCATTCCTTACTGCATAGCCACTGGTGATGTGAGAAAGCTAGTAAATTTTTTTATGTCAAGAGGTCAGCTTAAAGAAGCTCTGCTTGTTGCACAGGTAAAACCTCATAAATATAGCAGCCACATACTTTGGTGGGTGGGTATGAGGAATGGAGAATATTGTTCTCATAGGCAAGTGGTTGACAGTCATAGATAGCTTGGTTTCAACTCACCTCCCCAGCCTTCTGCTTCAACATTTTTATCATACTATCTTTGCTGTGGTCATACTGAACTTATTTTAGATTTTTAAATAGGCAGGCATCTCAGAACTCTGAACTTTTCACATGCTGTTCACTGTGATATACCATGTATTTGAACAACTTTTATTTAGTAATCATTTACTGGAAGCTTCAAGTTGGTATTCACAATGCAGTTACATTTTATTTATTTTCAAATTCTAAGGTTCTTTCCAAATCATATAAACTTTCAACATGATTTAAATGTAATTTTCTACAAACAATATTTTTAAATTTGTCAGTTATATAGCTAAACATTAATTAAAAGTTTAATTAAACCCCCTAGGCTGCATGCGAGGGGAATATGCAAAACTTGCATGTTTCTACACCTAAAGGAGCTTCATATTCTGATGATATCTACAAGGAAGACTTTGATGAGTAAGTGATTTACTCTTTATTTTGGGTCAGAATTTTTTTGTAGTTGGTTTTCTTTAGAAGTTTTTGAGGTTATGTAGCACATCCTTCTTTGAGGACTTGCTGCCTTATGATCAACTGCATTTCTCACATGGAGTTCCATGACAGCTTTTATCCCTGGATAATTAAAAAAATGTCAGGCATGTAGACACAATCTACATGCATTTTATGTAACTTCCAGAAAAGTAGCATGCATTTCAGGAGAGAGAGAGAGCAATTAAAGCACATAAATACTTTAAAAACTGATTGAACCTGTTGGGGAGGACAAGGTAGTAAAATAAGGTATGCTGTTTATTGATGATTCACTGTAAAGTGAGTATATGTAATATCCCCATAGTGTCTATAATCCCATGATGCTAGTATCAGTGTGTAGAATAGAATAACACTTATTCCTCTTTTAAGTAGGATGTCCATACAGTTGGTTATATTATAAAAGAAGCAGAAATTAGAATTTTTCACCCTTAGTCTATCTTTCCCACCCCCTCTATTGGTGCCTATTATGGACCTCGACAATAAGATAATTAAACTTTTCAGACTTTCAGAAACTACAGAAGGATCGTGAAATGTTAATGAGTAGTAATGTGCTGGGAATCATGTAGTAATTCCTGAATCTTTGCTCCTATTCTCTGCCATTTTAAAACTTGGCATTTTAAGACCTAATATAACACAAGTCATATCTTGGGCATCACCTAAATTTTGAAAAAATTCATTTCAACCTGTGATTCTTCTAAAGCTAAACATTATACATGTGAGTCATAATTTACCCATTAGAGAATGGAAGCTTTAAAAATCAGGCTTTTCGTCTTAGAGTTTAGGTGCTAAGGCTGGAGAGGACGACCAGAGCATATATTTGGAGAGATTGCTTTCCTGAATTTTTTCCTAAATAAGGTTTAGACCTAAATCAAGGATGTCAAATTAAAACCTGTTAGGTCCCTTAATCCCCCTTTGAAAAGGACATTATTCACACTTATGATGGAATTCTTGCATTAATAAAGAATATTTCTTTTTTTCTTTCATTCTAGACTCCTCCACAAAGTCAGTAAAGAACTGGCAGAATGGTATTTTCAGGATGGTCGAGCAGTACTCGCTGCATGTTGCCATCTAGCTGTAGATAATATTGAGGTACAACATTTCAAATTTGTGCTTGTGATTGAAAACCTCATTAGATGTGTCATGGTGTTTGAGGGGTGACTTCTACGTAAATTCTGGTTTGTATGCTTCCAAACCTGAGTGATTACTTGCCAAATTAGCACACACAAATGCTATAGACTATGAAATCTCTTGATTAATTTTTAAAACATGATATGTATTTTAACAATCTTGCTTTAACTAATTCATCATAGGTGAGAATTGATAGTCTGATGAAGGAAAAAAAAATCACTAGACATGGAATTAAAGGATCTTAGTTCTGTTTCTAACACAAATTGACTTTGATCAGATCACTTAATCTCTCAGAATCTCAGATGTCCTCAGCCCCAAAATGAAAAAGTGTAACTACCTTACATATTTCACTTGTAGTTATTAGGATTATGAGAACTGATACAAACTAAAGCACTTATATTTAAGTATACTTTTATATGTTCATTACAAATTTTATTTTTAAGGCACATTACACTTGACCCATTCACGTAAAAAGGAAAATACAGAGGTTCTATTTTGCACTTATCCTTAGAAATACTGGCTTTAGGGAATGATTTAATATTATTGTACAATCTTGTAGAAACTTTTCAAATTTATATTTTTTTTCTGAAAAACTGAAGGATGTGTTGAGGATATAGCCGAGTATTATTAAATGCAAAAATAGAAGCAAGAGTTCTAAAGTCTTCAATTCTGACCTGATCAATTTCTCATATGTCTCATTATCAAGATTTTTCATTTGAAAATCGCAATTACTCTTACTGTACAGGAATATAACGATACTTTATAAGAATAATTGATTTATAGGTTAATACTACTTTATCTACTTTATGAGCTTGGAGGGGAGTGATGATCTTACCCAGCATCTATGCAACTGAAGAAATTATTTTCTTCTTGAGCAAGCTTGCTATGGCATACCTGATTCGTGGAAATGAACTGGAGTTGGCCGTCTGTGTGGGAATGGTACTAGGAGAATCTGCAGCACCAGCAACTCACTATGCCCTAGAATTACTGGCAAGAAAATGCATGATGATTCCAATATGGTAAGAACTTCCAAATTGAAAGAATAATTTTATAGTGATTACATGCATTTTTGAAATATTATAAATTACATTTGATATGTATTAGGACACTATATGATGATAGGACAGGTGAGAACTACCATGGTTATATAATGAAATCTACCATGACCGCTTCCGAAGTAGTCAGGTGTAGCTCCATAATGTTTCAAGCACCTCAAGAGTTAGGAGACAACAAATGTGCACTTCTTAAATTCATCAAGACCACACAATCCCACCTCTTAAAACTTTGCACATCTATACCTATTCTTGTGAGATCTTGTATCCTAATTTAGGGCATGAAAATAAAGTTACTTTTCTAAGGGAAAACAATAAAAAATATATAGTTTTGATGAAGACTTAGAACAGGCCCTCCCTCTCCCTGAACTCTTGAAGTCCTCTTAAGAGTTGGACCCAGGGAATTCCCAGGGGAAACCTAGAATTCTAGATTAAAGAAGTTCTTACTCAGATCTGCAGAGCCTTGTTCTTAGTTCAGGCAGTCCATCATTAGAAAGACACCTTTAGGAAAGATGGGACGCTATCTGTCATTCAATACAGTTTGTTGAATAAAAATGAATTCAGAATTTTATCTTCTCTTTCAACAAAATACTTAGGACCTCAAGAAGTTTCCGAATGAACTTATTTATCATGACTAATTAACATGTTATACTGCTTATTGTGTGCCAAGCACTACATTAAACACTTTTTGTGTCATAAATCATTAAGTCCTGTGAGGCAAGTATTGGTTTGCCTGAGGTCTCGGTTAAGTGGTAAAGCTGAGATTCAAAAGTACATAGACTGGCTCCAAAATGGGAGCTCTTAGCTACTACTGTATACCATCTCCCTCATCTGTGGCTAATTTGGTGTTGGGGGGCAGAGGAGAAAGCACACTTTCTATTATCCTTTTCAGTTGGGATCTAGGAATTTCACAGCAAATCAAGAATCCGATGGTTATTCTAATTTTTATACACATCTTAGTGATGTAAGAACTCACTTCCCCACCAAAATGTGGTAGTACCCCACCATCAACTTCACACTTAAGTGTATTTAATAATGACTATCCTGGGAGAGAATTAAATCTTTCTGTCAAGAACTATAATAGTCAATTATGTAGTTATTATGACTTGATTTAGACCTGTCCCAAAGCATAAGTTTACTCAAATTATTTCCTTACAAATAAGGCTGACTTCGTGCCAAAAGGCCTAATGAAATCTAATGAAATGGAATTAATATTTTTAAAGTGAAGGTAAAACATTAGCAAATGCATATTATATTAAAAATATCATTAGAATCTTTCAACTAGCTATATTTTTAATTTAAAAAATAAATTTATATTGCCTTGTTTACTATCCCCCACCAAGAGTTCTTCCTTTATAAAGCCCTAGATATGTATAGAAACCAGGATAAAGTTCAAATTCTGAGCTATGAGGTGCTGGTTAAGTTTATTTCTAGAAGAAATCTGTAATCTTCATGACTATTAATGAATTCCACAGATTGAAAACAAATAAAAATAGCTGCATGACTTAAAGACAATGCTCATAATTTTATAAACCCAAAACACCCCATGTATTTACTGGTATAAATTTCCTTCTTGATATTCACATATTTATAATATTCATGTTCAATATTTTCTTTTTAGCTTTCCATCTGTTGGATACAGGTATTAGTTTATTTTTAAAGATTTTTATTTTTTTTAATTCTATACTGTTTTGAGTATTTAAGTACTATATCTATATTAAAAAATGCTCAATAACTATTTTCACTTTGCTTTATAGCATGCCTTTTTATATATATAAATTATATAAAATCTAACCACCAAGTTAATAAAGAATAGCTCCTATAACCTAGGCACAAAATCATTCATGATACTTAAAATATGTACAGTAAATGAACCATACCTTTCTAAAGTAACAAACAATAGCTACTTTAGCTAAAGAAAAAGAAAAAAGAAATACTTGTTCTCATAGTGGCATTCAAGAGTTTATATAATTTGGTTGTTCTGTATCATTTTATACTTAAATATGTATATGCAGGAGCACACGCCCCATCACCCTCATCAATGTACTCAATTTAAAAAAAAATAGGGAAGTGAAGAATGAATAAAATTAGCTGGCCTTACTACAAATTTCTCTCTATTGAAATGGAATTATACTCAAGAAATTCAGGATTTGTCTGAAGTTAGCAAGTTTAAGTATAGTTTTAGTATAGACACTTTATAGAGAATAAAGTATTATCATGGACATTATTTAAAACTGCTATAAAATTTTGGTATCACGAAATACATAAAGTCATTTATACTCTCCAGTAATAACAGGTAAACTTATCTGGAACTTATAAAAACATTCAAAAATTTATCTCACTAATGGTAATAGAAATATTGTCAGTTTGGGAAACATGTTTAATTATGAAGTGGCTAGGGGAAAATAATACATAAAAACATTGTAATCTTTTACCAATTCTCCATTGACATGATATGGAAAATTATTTATTTGTGGAATTTTGAATTATTAAAATATTTTATATAGAATTTTATGGTACCCCACTAAAGTTTTTTATTCTAAAACCTTACAGTATGCCTAATTTGTTATTGTTCTAGTAGTTTGTGGTATGCATATGTATGTGAACATTTTTTAAATTAACTTTTGTATTTGACATCAGAAATATAAATCATCTCTATTTCTATTCTATACTCTGCATTCTTGATTAGGCAATAAATGACCAATGTATACTTTACTGAAGTCTTCAAAACCAAGATGAAGTCCCTGGTACCTAACTTTATAAATTCTCATTTGAAATATCCTCTATTTTAAGTCATACATTATATATTAATCTGTTGATATCTAAACATCTTAAATCATCGAAAATTAGATGTTTTCTCAATTATGATGCATGCAGACCAAAACTCCTCACCTAGTGATTTGAAAAACTGGTTTTATAAGCAATATTTTCAGTGTAAGGCAGTGAATCTCATAGGATTTTATATTTTTAAAACCCTTAAGTGTTTTATTCTGTTGATTAAATCTTTAACAAAAACTACATTTCTGTCTTCAATTTCTACTTAAAGTTTAAGAAATATGCATTATACTAAAATGTCTAAGCTTATAATAGCTAATATTCTAAAGATTTCAGTGAACTGATAATAGATTTTCCATTGTTGGAAGGGAAATTGATGAGAGTTAGCTTTCACAAAATTTGCTTTATAATTTGCTCCAAAGAACATATTCAATACTACTTAATTTCGTTAGAAAATTATTCTGTAATAATAATATTGATTATAAATATGTAGGGACTTGTGTATATAAAGTTTAGATTTTAAAAAATTATTTAGTAATTTGATAATACATTTATCCTTTATACTGTTGGTTTTCTATAACCTACATTTAGAGGAGTTTCATGACCAATTGGGAAATTAGTAGTTTATATAAATAGAAAAGAAAGGAAGGTTCATTATCTGAGTCTCTTACTATTGAAATCATTATATTATTTTTAGATCTTTTACTCAATGACTTCATCCCCTTTTGTTACATGAACAGGAATTTGGCAGCCGATCTTCTCCTGATGATTCCTGATAATGAACTACATTTAGTAAAACTCTGTGCTTTCTACCCAGGGTCTATTGAAGAAATAAATGATATTCATGAGAAGGTATGGTGATGATTCTAGTGTGTATTGCAGTGTGATAATTTAATAAATTTCAGGTTCAAGAAAATAGAGATACATGAAGAAAAACAAATATCCCTTTGGGATACTTTAAACTTCAAAATAATTATAACAAAAAGAAATAATATTTATTGAGCTTCTGTTGTATGCCTATTACTGTTCTAAATTTTTATATATATTTGTATATTACTAAAGTCTCATGAAACCATGAAACAAGGAATATTATCCTATTTTGCAAAAAAATAAAATAAAATAAACTCAGAAAAGGAAGGAACTTACCTAATAGTTAAAAGTGTAGTGAGAATTTCAACTTCAGCAAGCCCAACTCCAAGTTCAAAGCCCTTTCCACTGTGTAACTTTGCATCTGAAGGTATGTGTACATTTTTTTAAACAGACAATTCAAGATCTTTTTCAAATAAAATATAAATAAATTCATATGCATTATTTTAAAGTGCTTTAAAATGTTCATTTGCAGAACATAGAAATCTATATGCTAATGTTATATATAAAACACCAAAAATGGTTAACAGTAGCAAAAAATGTTTATATAAGTCACAGTACCTTTCTGTGTTTCAGTGCTATTAATCTATTAAAACACCTATTTTTGTTGATATGAGACGATGGCTTTAAAATGTAGTTAAAGAGAAAAATCACAAAACTATCAATATGCCATATTATTTCATTTTTTAAATAACCATGTGTATTACTTATAGAATACTTGAGAAATTTTATATCAATAAAATATTTTCTCATCGTTAACTTTCAAAATAACTTTTTTTTTTTTTTTACTTACTTGAGAGCTAAGTTTTTTTTTTTTTCCGCTTACTTGAGGTTGAGTTTTCCCCCAATGGGTGAATAGTCCCATTCATTCAACAATATATAATTATTGAGTATTGTTAATTTAGATAGACCAAAAGTGTGTGAGTATGAGAGTTTGTGTGTGGTATCAGAGAAATCACTGGTGAAAGAATAAATGTCCAGAATTACCAGTAGGTTGTGGTATTATGGGAGATTTTAACTCGTTTAAACACTTCACATACTTTGAATTACTTTTTTTTTTAAAGAGAGAGAGAGAGAATTTTTTAATATTTTTTTGTAGTTTTTGGTAGATACAACATCTTTATTTTATTTTTATGTGGTGCTGAGGATCGAACCCAGCGCCCCGCACATGCCAGGCGAGCGCGTTACCGCTTGAGCCACATCCCCAGCCCCTGAATTACTTTTTAAAATAAGCTGTGCTTTTGCTTTTGTTAACATTCAACTAAATGCTATTTTACGTTGAAATTAAAGTGTATGTGGAAGGAGGCAAGAGGGTTATTTTTAAATATATCTTACATTTATTGTGTAGTATTTGGATGTATGCCAACAGATATCCTCTGGGGCAAGTGAGTAATATCAAAATTTGGAGAGGTTAAATGACTTAGATAAGTTTATGTAGATATAGTTTTATTTGTTTTTAATTGACAAGTTGTATATGTTTATAGGTTCAAAGTGATATTTTGATTCATGTATGTATTGTGGAATAATCAAATCAAAATAATTAGCAATCACCTCGAATATTTATCATTTCCTTATAGTAAGAAATTCTAATATCCTTTAATTATTTTGAAATTTACAATATGTTGTTATTAACTATAATCATCTTGTTGTTTAGCAGAACACCAGAACTTTTTTGAGGGGTTGGGGGGCACTGCTGGGGATTAAACCTAAGACCTTGTCCATGCAAGGCAAGCAATCTACCAACTGAATTATATCCCCAGCCCCATAACTTATTTATCTTATCTAGTTGCAGCTTTTACCATTGACCTTGATAATGGGAGAAAGAGTGGTATTTACCTCACTTTCATCCCACATTCTAAAAGGATGTAACCAGACTCTCAGACTTTATTAGTAACTCTTTAAAAGGACTAGTGAATATTTGTAAAAGTGTTAATAACTCTAAAAAATTTAAGAAGTAATATTAAAAACTATATTCAAACATTATGGTAACATATAATTTTGTGAATTTTAAGATAGGACAAAAATATTCTTATTTAGCCAGGCACTACACCTAGCCCATATTAGTTGCTCAGTAAATTATTGGCAATTCATGAATAACGATGGGGAAGAAAGCAATATGTAAAGCTGTTTATGTGACCGTCACCTTAATTCAGTTTTTTGTGTTACTTTCTTAGATATTGAAAGATCTAAAATGTTCATTCTACCTAATTGTTAAAACAGTGAGAAATATGTAACTATTGAATAAATGCAAAAATAAACAAATAAATTGAAAAAGCGTTAAACTATCAATGTTGCTTAGAAACAGACTTCAGCATTCTTAAGCTTTAAAAAATCATAAAACATTGAAACTTGATATAAAAGGTAACGATCACTATTCATATTATGGTAGTAGAACAACTTAATTGAAGGCTATTTTAGCAAAAAAACAATAAGGAATGTAGTTTTGGGTTTTTTTTTCTTTTTTCTTTATTTCATACATGACAATAGTGGAATGCATTACATTCATAATTATCTATTTACAGCCCATTTTTCATAACTCTGTATATTAAGTATGTTCACGCCAAATTATGCCATTATACATGAGCTCTCTTATTTTTTTGCATTACAATTCTTAATATACCTTTATACCACAATTTATCATATCTCTGTTTGTATATAAGGTATATTTTGTAATAATAAAACTTCATGAACCAAAATCTCAACTTTATGGGGGAATTTCAAAATGTCAGATTTTAGAACTTGTACATTTTTAGCCTCTTTGAAATAAGGTCACTTGGTTCAAAGGCTATGTAAAATGATAATATAGAAAACATGTAATCAAGCACCTTCGATGTTTTGCTGTATATAATGTAGTTTTTGCCAATGGTCAGTACATATATTATGAAAAAAATGATTTCAGGCTGGGGTTGTAGCTCAGTGGTAGAGCGCTTGCCTAGCATATGTGACGCACTGGGTTCAATTCTCAGCACCACATATAAATAAAATAAAGTTCCATGGACAACTAAAAAAGAAAAAAAACTGATTTTTAGTATTTTTTGCTAAATTGAATTTCTAGTTACTAATTTCAATATTACAATCAGGAAATTTAATTCTACCTCTTTTATTAGGTATTTGATGAAAAGCTATTGACAACTTATTGTTTTCAGATATTAAAGATTGATCTGTTGTCTTTAGATCTTAAAAATTGTTTTAAATATCTGAAATATATTTATATAAACATATGCTCATTAAAATAATTTTAATTACATCTATCTTGGCAATTTTAATAAATAAAACAGGTATATGTAAATAGTTGGTGTTTATACCATTGCTGTTTCTATAAATCTTAGTAACATTCTCATTAAATCAATTATTTCCTAGTGCAAACTCCCCACAGTAGAAGAATGTATGCAATTAGCTGAGACAGCCCATGCAGATGGCAATGTATTTGAATCTATAAAGTATTATTTATTAAGTCAAGAACCTGAAAAAGCCCTTCCTATTGGTATTGACTTTGTCAAAGGTAAGTTTATCATTGGTAATATAAATTTTAAATCTACTTAATTTATCTGATTCGTTTGTTCATCTTGACAGCCTTAAAATCAAGCACTGACCATCCTGAATTTTAAAATGAGAAATATTATGTGGAGACCTGACGGATAGTGACTAGAAAAATACTTCTGATCTAGAAAATAAGATATATAGATATAGATATATAGGATTAACCATTAGAGAATTATGTAAATTAAAAATTAGATGAACAAATTTTGACATTATTTTTTAGAGAATCTTGTATTTGATTTTGTTCTTCCAGAACACCTCAGTAGTTCAAATTGGACATTGGATACCATTTATCCCATTCTTGACCTGTTGAGTTATATTCGTACTGAAAACTTAGTCTTGCATACATGCACTGAGTGAGTACTTTTTCTCTAAAATACAAGAGAATCAATGCAATGTTTTTAAATGGTTCTATTATTTTTGATGTTTCTATCAGTAAATAGGATCCTCTTGGACAGACAGCTGTACTTCTATAAAATTATACTTTTGTTATATTCTTTAAAAATATACAGTCATTGACTGCAATTAAATATTAACAGTCCCATTTAACACTATCCAGTGTGTGTATATATATTTACTTATGTGTACACACACACACACACACACACACACACACCTGGCTCAAAAAAGGTTAATTCAAAGTGTCCTGAAGTTTTAGACCTCAAGTCCTCAAGAAACTAATGCTTGTATTTATTAACTACCTATTGTGTGTAAAACATCATATTAGCATCTGGGGAAAGAAATACAAGTGCCAGAAAGTAAAAAATAGACATCAACCCTAAATTCATGTACCATTTTAAAACATTATCATCATATGACTTAGGCCCTCAGAGACTTGGGTATAATTTATAAGAAAGGCTTTGGGGGGGGGGGTTCTTTCTTTAGTTGTATCTATGAAAGATGACTCTGCAACCTGGGACAAGCAGGTTCCCCTGCAGGAAATGTAGTTGATATTCTTTGTCCTGAATAAGAATTATTAACTAATGAATAAGTTATCTCCCTCAAGTTTAGAAAATTTCCTAAACATATTTTGTTACAAATGTTATCCTCAGAATATATATACAAGAACAGAATATATATGTGTGTGTGTATGTACACACATACACATACAGATAATATATCCAAGAACTATATACAAAAGTAATGTTCTATGCCTCAAATTATAGAACTTGAAATGTATATATATATATTCTCTTTTAGAGCTCGAAATGAGTTGCTTATATTATGTGGTTATATTGGTGCATTATTGGCTATCAGAAGACAGTACCAAAGCATTGTTCCAGCACTTTATGAGTACACAAGGTAAAAGAAAAAATTCTTCTATCATGAAATTAGAGAAATTCTTTTTAAAACAGATAGTCTCTTAAGTGGATCAGAAGCATTGATTTATTTACTCAACATCTTCTTTTTAATAAAGCAGCAATAAGATATATGAGTTAAAATGCATTAGACTATAAATGATGGAAATCTTATGCTAGCTTAAGCACATACGGTTTACTGGTCTTATGTGTCAGGACACTTTACAAAGGCATTACTGTCGTAGCTATGCATTGATTCCATCAAGACGTGAATCCTTTCCTTCCTTCAACTCTGACATTCTTGGCTTCTTTCTCCTTGTATAGATTTTCCATGGTTACAGGATAGCTACTAGCCCTGCATATATTATGTCTACAGTCTAAGTAAGAAAGAGAGACTAAGGGTAAAAGATAGACTTCAAAGAGCTTTCTCCAAGCAAGACAATTTTATACAAGAAAGAAAGCTCTCCTGGGGCTTCATGCCTACATCTCACTGGCCTTAATTGTGTGACTCTACTTTTAAAATAGCTAGGAGACTAGGTATATTCACTTTCCAATCTGTCAGAAAAATGCAAAGTAAATGGAATTTGTGAGTAACAGGTAACCTCTTATTTTATATTCAATTATAATGTACTTCTGCATTTTCTAGCAGCTTCCTGAACTTCAGCCATTATGCTTAAAACTTATTATACTCAAAATAAAATTCACGGTCCCTTCTATAAAAATACATTTCAAGGGGCTGGGCATGATAGCACCTGCCTGTAATCCCAGTGGCTTGGGCAGCTGAGAAAGGAGGATCATGAGTTCAAAGCCAGCCTCAGCAATGGTGAATCTCTAAGCAACTCAGTGAGACCCTGTCTAAATAAAATACAAAATAAGGCTGGGATGTGGCTTAGTGGTTGAGTACCCTTGAGTTCAATCCCCAGTACACTTCCAAAATACATTTCAAAATCTATTAGTTTGCTAAATGGCACAGTAGGTTACCTTTTTAATTTATGGATGCTGAGAGCTTTGAGATAAGCAATTTTTCTGAGTACCCTTTAGATGAGGTGGAGGATCCTGAGAGAAATACCTTTCTTATTACTGACTACTTCACCCTTATGGTGTTCATGAAGAAGTAACTGCTACCTAGTGCAACCTAAACAATTATATGGAACTAATACTGTTGGCATACTCAAGGAAAAATCTTTCTATGCAGGCAGCATAACCAAAATTCAAATAGTTTTAATAATATTAAAAGATATTATTTAAAAATATACAGTAAGATGTATCACAGAATTAATGTTTAATGAAATATATTCAGCTAAATATGGCCTCAGTGATGATAAAGAAATGGAAATAATTGCTTAAATTAAGAATAAAAAGTATTTTTATTTAAGATTTAAGATTAGAATAAAAAGGATTTTTATTTATTTTTATTTAAGGACACACTTGAGAGAATATATCTAAGTTAAAGGAAACTTGTTAGTTTAAAAAGAGAGCTTCAAGAATTCTTAATTTTAAAGAACTTCTCTTTGAGAATACCATCTTTGTTTTCTTGTCTGCTCCCTATGCTTGTTTCCATAATCCACTAAATATGCAATTCCCAAAAGGCTTATTCCCTTTCATCCCCTGCTCTTCTTCCCTTTCCTGGCTCCCATCTCACTCTATTTCCACATCTCTGTTCCTCTTCTCTCCCTTCTCCTTTCCATACACTATTCTCCAGAAATCTCATCATTTTTTAGCTTCACTTATCACCTCTATGAATATCTTCATAGATATTTATACCAGACTAACCTGCTCTGCTAGCTCCTATGGGCGTATTCCAGCAGCCTGATAAGCTCCAGTCTCAAACTTAGTATGCTCAGAATTAAAATAATCTTTCTTCTCAAATCTACTCCTTCTTTTACATGGTGCCATTATATTTCTGTTGTATAGGATCAAATGATCAAAATGATAATTAAGTATTCTCTCTCACTCTGTTATTCAACATTGCTCAGCTAATCTATAGCCATTCTCCATACATTATGCTGTTCATTTATGTATTTACTGACAGTGATTTATGCAACCAGTGTTTCTGGAGCATCTTGAACTTGACAGTGATTTAAATGCTAAATATACAAGTGCATATACACACATGTACATACAATGTCGATATATATGTCTGTGTGTATATATCTGTATATAACTACATTTAGGTATATGTACATACATTTCTGAACAATTATTAAAGTCCAAAATTGAAGTTCACTTGTTTTTGCTGATATCTAAGTTTTTATGCCATATGTTAATTTCTTTTCACATTTCAGCCAGCTATTAAAACGTCGAAAGGTATCAGTTCCCTTAAAAATTGAACATCTTTCCGAGGAACTGGATGCATGGAGAGCTTGCACACAGCCCACCAATCAGTGAGTGGATACGATAAAAAAAATTGAAATACTGAAGGAAGTGAATGTGATAGACAAAATTGTTGTAAAATGTGCATGGTCTCATCAGTTTTTGCAGAATGAATGAATCTTTATTTATTTAGCACATATTTAGTAATAATTTATAATGGTGTTTTTCCTGCCTTTTGAAAGTTTTTTGGTTGTTGTTGTTTTACTTTAACTTAAATCTAACATTGATTTCCTCTACCTATGATGGGGAGAGCTAAATAAGCATCAGAGACTATTTCTAATCTAAACCTCAATAATTCTGTGATTCTATAAAAATGAAAATTTAATATTTGTTGAAAATATAGATCAGAGGAATCGCCATATACACCCCCTTCTGATTCACAAAGAATGGTTTATACAACTTTATTAAAGAAACTAAAGGAAGAACCACTCAAAGGAATTATTGGACCAGATTATGTGACTGGATCAAATCTCCCAAGTCATTGTGACATTCACATGTCTTGTCTTACGGGATTAAAAATCCAGGTACAGCTTAATGTCAGACATAAAATGTTCATTTCAACTTTTTATGTATTTTTGAAATGTTATTTTAAAACAACTACAGATACCTATAATGAGGCATGGAGCCCCATAAGAAAATAGTACTATGCTGCTTCTACAATAGTTAGCATAAATGGACTCTTCTCCCTAAAATAAATTCAGAGAAAGTCATTATATTATCATAAAAGCAATTCAAGTAATATATACACTTAGTAACAAATGATATGTATGCTTAGTAACAAATATGTTTTTAAAATATATACAGGTTATATTCTGAGGGAAGTTTAATAAGAGAGCCCAAGCAACAGTCAACAGTTACAAATGATTTTATCACAACAGATTAAATTTAACCTTCTAGTTTCCATTTGTGTTGTATAAACACAAAGCATTAAAACCTGATAGATGTGTATTTTTGATAATTGTGTTAAATTATTGGGATATTATGTTACGATGATTTACTAAACTTTTCAAAAATTAAAAATTATTGGGGTCAATCGTGAGGGATGACTAATTCCCAAATAATTTCCCCTCTTGTACAAATTAACAATGATGAATGATGCTAGAGCCTCTCAATGTGACCCAATGGTGTCATTATCATGAAGAACTGGAGTCCTCCTGAAGGAAACAAAGCTGACTTCCATGAAATGCTAATTGAGATTATAAATTGTACTAAAAGCCCCCATACATACATGCACATTTTAACAGTAAACTCTTATATTTTTAATGTAATGTTAAAACTTACAAATGTTGACATGCCAGCCAGAGAATGAGGTTATTTTTTGAGACAGCCACTCAAAATGAATGAAAGAGCTGGATACTAATATAGACCCCTACCTAAAGCTTAGCTTGCCACTGTAAACCAGAGTCTTCAAAACACACTGAAATGTTCTAAAGCACAGCATACATCATTGTCTACACCTTTATTACCCAATTCTATTCTGAAATAAAGAACCAAAGTAATAAGATCAATTCAATAACTTTTAATTAAGAGTAAAATATTGTGAAATTTTTGGAGTATATTTCAGCACCACTCACTGTCCTTTATGTGCCATTATAGTACTTGCTACTTTCAGGTTCCTTTTTCTCCCTCTCTTAGCATTCATTTTCTCCATTCAGGATAGCAAATGACCTGATAAATACCATCTAACCTCTCTGTAGTTAAATCTACTTTGAGGAAGGGATCTGCTTATTATCTCAAATACACTAAGGCACACCTGGCTAATATACATAATTTCCCTCCCAGGAAATTTCTATTTCAAAAGAAAATTAATGTGCTTGAACTATTATTTGAAATTTTGAGTACCAACTAATATGAATCTATCTACCAACTTCTAATATCTAGAAATGATTCTGTAACAACAAATGTCATTTAAAATAAGTCTTAAAGCTATCAGGCTTTTGGTTATTAAGTTAAAGAAACTAAAATTTTTACTGTATTTTGTGATTTTTACATGTTGCCTTTCAAGACAGGAAATACAAATTTCCTAGGAAATACAGACTGAAAGGTTCCCCCCCCCAATAACTAAGCTGGGCATACATAATAACTGATGCAGGTAAAGTATAAATATGCCCTTAAGTGGCTTGATTTAATGTAATTTAATATTATATATGCATATATAGAGCAATATATATATTCTTCACCTTCTGTAAAGCATGATTGAAATTCCCAGCTTTAATAATTTCCCCAGCTATTTTGACATAGGCTGCATGGTTAAAATAGTGAAGTATATTTAAGTATTTTTCTATGATATATGCTTTTAGAAAATAAGTTAACTTTGTGGCAACAAATAGATTTTTCAGTAATAATGATTATCCTTGGTAACACTACTGTATACAAAGAGTTAAAATTAAAATATGAAATTCTATTTTCACAGGCATCAAGAAATAAGAATATAATGAGATATTTGAAAATGTTTTTATATTTGGTAGCAGTTCAGAACAAAAACAATTTTCTCTCATATTTTTTGAATTCCTATTTGTAGTGCCTGAATATCACCAGTGTTCTTATTGCAGTGATTCTGTTTCTGGAAGCTTGAAACAATGTTATGAATTTATAATCTAATATTTTCTTTTTTCAACTTTCACTGTGTACAGGGCCCTGTATTTTTCCTTGAAGATGGGAAATCTGCTATTTCATTGAATGATGCTTTGATGTGGGCAAAGGTGAATCCATTCTCACCTTTAGGAACTGGACTACGACTCAATCCATTTTGATAGAAGATTTTTGTTCATGCTTAAATTATTTTTTAAAAGAAGAACTTTTGTAGATTAGTATTACCTTGGTCTTGATCATCCAAGAGCCAAAGGTTGGGAGGAGGAGTGGTGGTTGGGAACAGTGGGAAACAGTAGTTACTTTGATTCATTAACTTCAAAAAATAAAATATTTATATAATTTAAAGGAAAAACAGGTGTGTCTCCTTTATAAATTGTAACAGCAACATTAGGATGAAGTCATATTTAAATTATAAAGGACTGAATAATCTAAAAAAGAATATAAATTTCACAAAGCATAAAAAGTACCAAAATATTATATCATTGAAACATAAATAGTGCATCACCTAGAATAGTTCTTGGCATAAAGTAGTTAATGAATATTTGAATATCTGAATATCTTGAAAGATCAAAATGTAAGGTATGCACACCTGATCTTCAAATAACAAACACTCATATTGTCCTTTATAAAAATGTATAGAAAATCACCAATTCTAGCTCATCTTTCATAAGTTCTCATTTATAAATTTAGTAAATGTCAATAAATGGATACCAATCAAAATAGAGGTTCACTTATCTATCTATCATGGAATTTTGTATTAAACATAGGAGCACAATACCACTGAGCTACACCCCAGCCTTTTTAGTTTTGAGACAGGATCTCACCCAAGTTAGCCAGGTTACCCTCAGACTTGTGATTCTACTGCTTCAGTCTCCTGAGTAGCTGCACCCAACCTGAATTTTATTTATTTTTTAATGAAAATGCTACTGTGTTTTTAATCCAAAGTTCAATTACACAATGATAAAGTTATAAATCTTAAAAATTGGGGGTGATAAACTTAAAATGTAATATATATGAGAATTTGTTTTAGATAACATTATTTTAGAAGTTATTTGATATATATGGATATTAATTTTTTATTAATTCATTTAATATAAATATTTACATAAGAAACTGAGTTGTTAATTTTCTTTAGAACATAATTTGATTTAAATCACTTTTAAATAAATTTCTGTAAATAGGATACTAGTTGAAATTTTGAATACATTATGTAAATTTAATTTTAAAATATTTATTAAAACTGTAAAGCTGTGAAGACACTATTACATGACTACAAATATTTCAGTTGGTCTAGAATTCTGAATTTGAAATTTATTAAATTAATGTGTACTACAAAGAATAGTACTTTGATACTCAAATTGACTTACTCAGTATTATAGATGTTTTTGTCTGACCAAAGAGTGTATTCATAATAGGCTTTTATTATCTTCAAAGATTTACATTTAAAATATTTTTAAAATCTTATTAAACATGCTTCTTAAAACTAAAGATATATTATGTAGCTATATATTGTGTTTATCACATTAAGTTTCTAACTCCTCAAAAATTAAAAATATAGGCTGAAATTCCATTTTGTAAAATAAACTAATAAATAATAATTATAGAAGAAAATATATGTAACTCAGTAAGGCAGTGGTAAAGTATTACCTGAAAAGACTTTTGAACTCTTGATATCTTAAACTCAAATTTTTCTTAGGTGAGGAGAACTATTAATTGGCACATATGTACTAAAAACCCTCACATAAAAATGGTAGTCTAAGTCCGACTGTGTTATTATTTCAATTTTGTTTTAAAATAAATTGAATCTATCTTCTTATGTTTTAAATATTTCAAAGGATATTTTTGAGCTTCAATCATACATAGAAAAAATTATTAAATTCTGTGTTTATTGAATTTAGAAAAATAGTACTTTATGTATAAAATAAAAAAAAAAACATACACGTCTTTAATACATCAATAGAAGAGTAACCCAATTTCTGTCTCAAGTCTAAATTCAATTGATTCAGCTACCATTATATTATTTGACTTATACAACATTCTACAATTTAATTATGATTATCAATTCTTCAGAATTATGTCATTTGACCATCTCAGTCTGGATATATTGTGCCTTAATATTGAAAACAAAATATTAATTTATAAAATTATTCTTCATTTTTAGATTTCATATGCATGAAAACTAAAATATGAAGTTATATTACTATGTCCATATTATTACCAATAATGTGGAAAATTTATTTTACAGCTTTAAATATGCCTTTGTGAAGGAAGTGTCTCTTTGGACAATGATTTTTTTTTTATTTTTTATTGTTGGTTGTTCAAAACATTACATAGTTCTTGATATATCATATTTCACACTTTGATTCAAGTGGGTTATGAACTCCCATTTTTACCCCGTATACAGATTGCAGAATCACATCAGTTACACATCCATTGATTTATTTTTTATTTATTTATTTTTTTTTTTTGGTAGCAGGAATTGAACTCCGGGGTAATCAACCACTGAACCACATCCCCAGCCCTATCTTGTATTTTATTTAGAGACAGGGTCTCACTGAGTTGCTTAGCACCTCGCTTTTGCTGAGGCTGGCTTTGAACTAGCTATCCTCCTGCCTCAGACTCCAGAACCACTCGGATTACGGGCGTGCTCTACCATACCTGGCTTGGACATTGATTATTAAAGCACTAGAAAAAAAGTTTGGCTATAAAAATTACAAGGTAATTAACAAAATTACAACATCAAGATGAATTATATCTCAAAAGTATAGTTTTATATCAAAAGTAATGATATATTTAATTCTTTCCATGAAATTGCCCAGATGTGTTCAGGAACATGATTGAATTGGAGCAATGATGTTATTTGTTTTTTGGGGGGTTTTTTTGTTGTTTATTTTTGGGTTTTATTTATTTATTTTGTTGTTGTTGTTGATAGACCTGTATTTATATGTGGTGCTGAGAATCAAACCCAGTACCTTACACAGGCTAGGCAAGCACTCTACCACTGAGCTACAACCCCAGCCCTTATTGTTCTTATAAAAAGAAAAAATTACACTTTTTTGGTTTTTAAGTCAAAAGGCATTCTGAATGTAGGAAAAGACTCAAAAATTATTTGCAAAATTTAGTGCTTCATATTATTGGACCAGTAATTGAGAGGATATCTTTATAGTCAACTTTAAATGCTTATTGTATCAAATCTTTGGGATATTTGTACCTAAATAATTGAAATATGTGTTTTCATGCTGAATTCAAATGCTGTATAACGGAGGTATAATACTGCACGTCACATGTATTTATATGTATGTATGTATTTCAGGTCCCTTAAATTTTAATAAATGTTGCCATTAAAGCCTGAAATGACAGTTATCTTCTAAGATAAATAAAAGTTTTGTTACTAAAACCACCATTGAGAGAACTTGTTTCTCCACAAAATGCCAAGTCAGAATTATCAGAAATATGACTTGTTATCCTACTCAGAAAACTGGGAAAATCATTTCATTGCATTTTTCCAAAAGCTGATTCTTCACTTGTAAGAATCACTGACTTTAACAAATTCCAAAACTACTCTAAAAGGGGGAAAGTCCATAATACAAACAACATATCACAGTAACTTCTATTCCTGTGATAACTATTTTGCCAATTGATTGAGAAGGTTCTGTTGCTATAAGGGTTGTTGTATCTCCTAGAAAAGTTCATTGGTTCCTTCTGTCAAAGATCCCTTAGGAAGTAAATAGTCTTCCTCAGATATGCCTGTGTTGTTGGCTTTGTTGACACAAGTCATACTCAAGAAATGCTTGAGGTTACCCACTTGACCATACTCGCTGCCTTCATTCATTCATTCATTCATTCCCAACTATTTAATATTTTCCACAATCTCCATAAGTTCTACAGGAGTCTTGGGAAATTACCATATTCACATCATAGGTAATTAGTTTTTTGAGAAAACTGAACCCAAAACTAAGACAAGAAACGTATTACTGTTTATCCATACTTAATCCTTTTCTATGGACCTTTCCCCAAACCATCAGAGCCTTTTGAAAACCCTTTTCTGAAGAACTATATTTTATCAGGTAAAAATATTAATCTTATAAGATTATACTTCAGATTGTCCCATTGCAATGCAAGGCAACAGGTAAATTGCCTACATCTGTTTAGGATACCATTTGAAGCTGAACATGTAACTCAGATTAAACTGGATTCTAAACACATTCCCAAGAAGTTACCTATCATCAGGGCTCTCTTTAAGTTCTCTTCCTAAGTATTATCTTTCCAAAAACTTAAAATTTAACAAGAAAGTCTCTGGAGGTTGAAATGCTTATAAAACATCTGAACCTTCAAAAAAGCAGAAAAATGGATAAGTGTGGCTAAAAACATACATGCATATTGTAGGATTCAATGTTAGTAATATTCATCTTGAAAGTCAAATAAGGCTGCTAATGAGATAGCATTAGAACATGAATAATTCCATTTGGAGAAAATTTTGCACATATGAATATGAAATTACCAAGAATGTATGAAAGATAATTAGCCTTTCAGGATATCAATCTGCTTTTATTTCCCTTCAATAAAAATATGAGGCATGGTGGCAACCAGTAAGAAGTTTTTTGTTGTTGCTTTTGTTTTTAATTTAACTAATTTGAATGCTAAACACCAGAGCCAAATTCTAAGAAAAATATGATTTTACTTCCCCACAACTCATTATTAACTGAGGGTCAGGGGGGACCTAGTATTTGAAAATAGTTTAAAGTAAGGCTACTCATTGAGATAAGCAAAAATTTCTATGGCCAACATATAAAAAATCATTCATAATATTTTTTTATTAATGAGTGTGATGAGTGTGTAATATCTGGCAAAGTAGAAGCTTAATAATATCTAATGAATAAAATATTACAAAGTAGACTCATTACTCCTACAAAATTTATAAGAAATAATCAAATATTTTGCTCTATACTAATTTATTTAATTTTGTATTTTCAACAGTATCTGGCAGAGATGTTTAATTAGTGAGCGTTGAATGGAAAAGAAATTTTTACCCCAATTATAGATAGGACACCACTTCAAGTTATTTATTATTGAAATATATCCAAGACCAGGTGATTATTTCCCTATATTATGGAAAGAGATAGTGGCATCTCTTCTTCAACGCCATTTTGACAAGTACCTTTCAAGGTTTCTTTTCTGTGTTCTTGATAGGTTTCATTACAGAGTAATAATCTTTTCCAGCTTGCTTTACATGAATGTCTTTATGTGGACTGCCATCATTACCTGTCTTTGCTGAGATATTAAAATAAACAAAATTAAAATTGATTAACATTTATTAAACATTTATACAACTAATATGTATATAAATATTTTTGTGTATATATATATATATATATATATATATATATATATATATATATATATATAAATGTAAATAAATACAGAATGATTGGCATTAGATTAAGCACAGGTTAATTTAAATACCTGGCAAACAAAATATTTAAATCATGCATTATAGTAGTCATGGATAAAAAATATCTGAATGTCACCCACCTCCAAAAGTCATCAGCAGTACCTAAAAATATCCAGGGCCTATTTTGGTGCATCTGATACTGAATATGACTCAACTATTTTTAGATATTGTTTCAGAAATCAGCTGAGGCAACAGTGGCACAATTTTGTATTTAGATTTGGCAAATATACATGATTCATAATACAGTTTTTGGAACTCTGATTACACTGGCCACCTAGACTCCAGGTCACTCATCACTCAGTTCTAACATGAGTGGCAACTAAGAAATTTACCTTCTGTTGGCCCACAATTTTGCCAGACACTAAATTTAGGTAAACTACTAGAGGAACTTAATTTAAATATATATATTTTAAAGGTAACAGTCTACTTTACAATTAATTTTGTCCACTCTATTTGATTAGAAGATTTTCAGATGAACAGCCTGTGGTTTCAGTGTCA